GGCCCATGGCCCAGTTTTTTTTATAGGTTCGGTCCACGAATCTATGCCTTCTCGTATTAACCTGAATACTATTGGGGCCATCGTCATTCTTGCAAAAATTAATCTTGATAAATCTTGGGATAAAAGATAATTTTTATAGTAAAAGTTGAATTTTGTCGGTGATTGAATAAAATTAATGGAAATTATTGTCATTTTTTTGCAACAGTAAGCAAAAATAAATTAAAAATGACATGTAAATTATATAAAAAATTACAATAATAAACAATTACTGTCATGGCCCATTTGGTTTGTGAAATACAATAGATGGAGAATGGAATTGATATTATGTGAGAATAAAAAATAGGAAAAATAAAATAAAATATGTATTATGAAATTTGGTTCATATAGAATAGATAAGAAATTAGTATTAATATGTTTGGTTAATTCACAAAATATGGATGGAATTAGTTTAAAAGATCATTTTACCCTTATAATTTATTATCAAAATCATTAATTAATAATATATTCAATATCAATTATCAATATTAAATATTAAAATTATCAAAATTATTAATAATTTAATATATTCAATATTAATTTAATATTATTAGATACTAATTTAATGATATTAATAATTATTTAATAATATTAACAAGTCTCGATTTGAATCAATTTAGATTTGAATCAATTTGGTTTGTTGATTTTTTTAGCTAAATGGTGTCAATCAGATTTGGGTTCGGACTAATCAGGCAGATTTTTGGATCGAGTTAGCTTGTATCAACTCTATAGATAACCATACAAAACCAATTAAAATTATAATGTTAAATAACAAAATTACTTAAATATATAGTTAGAGAGACATATAAAATGTACAAAAATTAAACAGTGTATTCTTTTTTTTGTTTAATATCGAACATGTTCTAACCAATTTATCATGATGTTTATTTCATAAATCAAAATTATCATCTATTAAAAATATGAAAGTTTGATTAATTAAATATGTTAAAAAATGAAATAAGAAACCAAAGTTAAACGAAACTTGGAACAAGTTTGGAAGTTAGATGTGCTAGATTTGAAGTTCTAACAAGGGCATCTGAGTGCCTTAGAAAGGTATCAAAATACTATCTTCCTATTTGAAGAGTCTAGCTGGAGGCATCGGAACGCTCCACTTAAAGAATTTGAAAGCTGACTTTATTGTAGCAAAAAATATCTAAAAGCATTCGAATTCCCGTATAAGGCATCCAAATACCCTAATTCAAAAGTCATGATTCTTCGATTTCTTATAAATAAAAGCATGATTTTCATATGATGATCATTCACATGAATAATTACTTCTGTAATTATTCAAAGAGGTACGTTTTGATCAAAGTAAGTGTTTGTTGGTTGAAATAATTTAATTAAAGAGTCACAATCTTTGATTAAATCTCTATAAATAGAGATGCCTAAAACACACTTTATATATTCAAAATACATTCCAAAACTCTGAAAGTTTCTCTTCTTTCTATAATTCTTTCAAAAAAAAAAATTAATACTAGTGATTTTGTCAAAGCAAAATTTTTTCATCTCAGATTAAAGGTGTTTAGTGGTTTGCATACACAATTATAAAATATTTATAAATAAGATTTTATTATATTTTAGAGGTATTTCAATTATTCTTTTACATACCGTAATTGGTAAAGACGAAATAAATCTAAAAAAGTAAATTACGGTAAAGATGAAATAAACTTAAAAATGTAATATTTGCAGCATGCTTTGAAGCCAATTTCGATTGTCTATTGAATGCTCCATTTGGTCCAACACAAAGGTGCTTAAGAGAAGGCTATAACTGATTTCTAGAAGAAGTTCAATTTCCACATCAGCATATTTGAACTACATCTGTTCATATAACATTATTTTGTATAACATCTGTTAGAATAAATAAATAAGAAAATATAAATAATAGAAAAAATTTTGACTTAAAGATGTGAAGAATATTTTTTTAAAAGTAATTATGTCTTTAAAATACAACAAAATCTCAAAATTTTCAATAAAAAATAATAAAAATAATTATATTAAAATATCTATTTATAATAAATGAACATATATAAATTGAGTTTATATTTGATACACTGTTAGTGTATAAATTCTATATACTATTAGTTAATCAAATGATAATATTTTATTCATGAGTATATATAAACCCTTAAAATAAATATACACAAATTAAAAGTTTTAAAAAATTTATTCATTAATGAGGTATTATCATCTAATTCATCTCATTAATGAGTTATTATCATTTAATGCACTAACAGTTTATAACATTTATATACTGACAGTGTATAAAATATAAATTTATATAAATTTTTATTTAAATAATTATGACAATTGATAAAATCATGATTTATATAAATAATCATCTATTTATATTCAAATAATTATAAAATTTATCATATAATAATTGTTTTTATTTAAATATAATTATTTAAAATGTAAATAAAATTAATAGAAAAATTAAATCCATTCATCAATAATATATAAATTTTATTAAAATTTTAAACTATATTATTTTATATATGTTATGTTTTGAATTGTTAGATGTAAATAAATGAGTGATTTTTTATTTTCCTGTCCTCCTTCAAATTCTTGATCCCCGAGTTTTGCACAAACAATGTGAATTTAATTTCCCTAGATTCACAGAACCAATTTTCCAAAGTTTTCGATTTCTTTCTTCTATTTCCTTTATTTCTTTTTTTTTTTTTACTGCTGACTTTGATTTTTTGAATGACTAACCAAAAAATAACAGAAATAAAACAAATAAAACAAATTAATATTAAAAATAAAAACAATTTGAGGTCATTTAATTTTATTATAATATTAAAACTCAAAATCAAATTATCTTTAACTCAAAATTTATTTAGCAATTCAAGTCTAAAATTACAATTAAAATAGTTCGAATTTCAAAAAATATTTTAAAATGTGTACCTTACTCTTAAGAAAAAAAGCTATCAACTAACATTAAAAAATTAAAAAGTTTTCATTCATTTTAATTTACGACCCTTACAAAACTCCAACCTTGGATTACAAATCCAAATTGAATATAAAATGACCAATGCACCGAGCTAAGATAAATTTTATTTAAGTCCTTCAATTTTAAATATAATTTAATATAAATCTATTAATTTCAAAAATAGACAACTCAGCCCTAATATCTCAATCTTGTTAACAGATTTCATGCAATTGTGATACTGGCCCTGAAACCTAAATTATTTTATTTATATATTATTCTTTGTTCTATATATGTATTGACTGCGTAATAACAAAAAAATTATATGTATTTAAATATTACAATTTTTAACTTTAATTTATTTTTTTATAGATGATTTTTAATTTAAAATAAATAAATGTCATCACTATATTTTTACGAGGGATGATAATAGATAATAAATAAACAAATATTCATTATTATCTAATTCGTTTACATTAGATTTGAATAGTTAGAAATTGATAATTAACAAATTCGAATATGAGATTTAATATTTGTGACGGATTTGGAGCAAATACGTATAGTATCTTCTAAATATTTAATATTTGAATCTGTTTAAATTTTAATATATAGTGATAGATATCCGAATCAGTTACCCGTCTATATGTATAAAATTTTATACTTTTAAAAAATTACAGACCTTAAAAAATAATTTTTATTTATTATTAATTTAGAGTGAATTTGAATTTTAAATTAAATTTTTGTTTATTTTATATTTTGACAAAAAATTAAATGAATGAATATTTTAACTAATAATGCTTATTTAAATATATTTAATTTTAAATTTAAATAATGATATTAAATTTAAACAAATATTTAAATGAATTTGAATATTATAAATATTGAATGAGTTTGTATATGGATATTTCAAAAGTAAAGAATATCCCTTTCATTGCTATTCTTAATTTTCACAATCATGTAATTTTAAATTTTTATGGATATTTCAAAAGTAAAGGATATCCCTTTCATTGCTATTCTTAATTTCACAATCATGTAGTTTTAAATTTAACATATATACAAGTATTATATTATAATAATTAAACCAAATAGATAAAATGTTCAATTGTGCTCCTTTTCATTTTTTCAACCAAACTTTTTTTCATACCATATTTTTCATGTTTTTTTTTTTTCAATCAAAACATTTTTCATGTTATATTTTTCACTTTTTTTTAAAAAAATTGTTATGTGCCAAAATAATATTACATTCTTAAGATATTCATTTTGTTATAAATATTTTTATATATTAGCATACTTATAAATGTAAGTTTTGTTTTTATATACTACATCTAAAATTTATTTCTATTATATTTTGAGAAAAAAATAAAAACAGTTTATTATTAATAATTATTACTTCATGTGTGTATTTAAGGATATTGACTTTTCATGAATAAAATGATCTCTAATTAAGGTTTTTAACGAAATAAATAATAGATGATTAACGAAAGGATCTGACCTACCAAATTAAAAAGTTTAGAGTGTGTTGTTCATTTTTTAAATTAATAGATTTGTGTTGAATTATATTTAAAATTAAAAATTTAAACTCTTGTGTTGAATTTTTTTAAATTCATAATAATTTAAACTCAAAATAATTTGAAGTAATTAAAATTTTCTAAATCCCAAAACGATTAAAACTTGAAATAAATTCAAATAAAAAAAACAAACAGATTCAAACCCATCCGAACCAGCCCAATTATAACTTGCAGCACTTTCGGACCACAAGCATCCAATGTAGGTATCGTACACAGGCCCAGGAGGAAAAAGAAGACCATAAAAAAAATTGGAACCCGCATCATATGCCGAATATATAAAATAAATTAAGTGTTAGAAATTTAAAATTTAATAAAATATAAATAAAAATATAAAAAACATATTATAAAATTTTAATAATAATTTTAAACGAATTTTATATCATCTTAAATTATTATATATAATTTTTATATAAAATAAAAAATATAAATATAAATTTTAATATTTTATATAATATAAATACTTGAACAGTAGATTACACCTGGAAAGTGACGCTTGATGATTGGTTTTTAAACCCTTCATCTGACGCTCTTTGGGTATGCAGGTTCGGCTCAAGAGACAAAATTGGTTCAGTTGAAGAAGAAGAAAGGCCCCAAGCGCTCGAGAGAAGACAAAAATGGAAGCCGGAGAACAGAGCGAGTGGTGTACAAAAGCATGGGCCCATCTAAGCTCAGTCCGGAATCAATCGCCGCTAATCCAGTGCATCACCAACTTCGTATCCATGGATCTAACGGCAAACACTCTCTTATCCGCTGGTGCATCGCCGGCTATGCTTCACTCTTCAAGCGAAATCCCCGACTTCACTCCTCAAATCCACGCGCTTTATATCAACGTTGGAACACTCTCTGATACCTGGCTACCGGCCATGAAGCTTGCTGCTGAATTGGCTTCCCAGTTCAAAAATCCCTGGGTCCTTGACCCTGTCGCCGCTGGTGCTTCTGGTTTTCGGTTAAAAGCGTGTTTGGATCTTGTCTCCCTTAAGCCAACCGTTATCAGAGGCAACGCCTCCGAAATCATTGCGTTGGCTAACGCTTCCTTGGGGACTACTAAAGGCGTAGATAGCTCTCACGACTCAACCGACGCCGTCGAAGCCGCGAAATCCTTGGCTAATTCCAGCGGTGCCGTCGTGGCGGTGTCGGGGGCAGTCGATTTCATCACCGACGGGAATCGAGTCGTTGGAGCTCGAAACGGCGTGCCGATGATGCAGAAGATCACGGGCACCGGATGCGCCGTCACGTCATTGATCGCCGCTTTCGTCGCAGTGGATCCGTCGCACCCTTTGGAAGCAACGGCTTCCGCGATGGCCGTGTTTGGCGTCGCCGCTGAGATCGCGATGGAGATGGCTAGAGGTCCGGCTTCGTTGCGGATGCACTTGATTGATTCTCTCCATGGACTTGATCAAACGGCTGTCATTTCTCGTGTTAAAATCACCTCTTTGTATGAAATCCAAGGTAAATTTTAAGGTTAGTTTCTATAATTCAATAATTAAGAATAATATTTAGCCCATTGCCATATCAATATATGTGAATGGAAGAGGTTTAAGAGATTGATAAATCAAAGGGGAAATATTTTGAAATTTATAATTGTTAAATTGAAAGATTGAAGCTGGAAAGGAAGACATTGTTCATTTTTCACACAACCGGACAATTTTCAAGACCTCGGTAAGTCCATGCCTGTACTTCCAGCAGTCATTGATGTGTGTGACGTGGGTGCTTGAAGTTGAGGTTTGCTACCTTCAATCATGGCTGTGAATGAAATCATTTGGATTGTTCCATCTCTAGAGCTGGTTTACATAAACTCTTTGAGCTTTCCTTATTGCCTGTGACGTTAAACAGAGCTGGCGGTGACTGTGTCATCGACAATGATGATTGTTTTGAAGCCTAGTTGGTCCTCGAGGGATCTGAGGATTACCATTTTCATTTTAATTGCCTGCGAAAGCTGCACTGGCAAAGCCAGCTCCTAATGGGAGATGCATTGTTGCCATTGACAATAGGAATAGCCACCACTGCCAGTAATTGAGATCTTCGACTTACTTTACATACAATAATTTAAAATATGATACAATAATTAAATATGATACGACAACATAATATAAATATAATACAAAATTAAAATATAAAAATAATTTAAAATTTTAATAATAATTTTATATGTATTTAACAAAATAAAAAAAATTATATTTCATATATTTATGTCAATACAAATTATGATATATAATTTTTAAATAACACATGATTCGAGTTTATTAATTTTAACTTTTTTACATAACTCAAATACACAAATCCTTAGATTTCCTCTACCCCACCTTGAGGGAGGAATCCCACTGGCTTAGCGAGAGGTACTTGACAACCGTCAATGTTTCCTAGTAATCTAATATTGGTCGAGCTGTGGTACTAATTCCCTGGAGGATATTATGCATATAGAACTGGAGGACAGGTTCTTGTTCTTCTGCTGTGGCTGCTGCTGGGTTGACTTCTACCAGAGACGTTGCCATGTAGACAGTAGTAAATCAGCAATGAAACGAACACTGGGGATATTTGCTTGAAATTTTGCAATATTTTCCTGATGGTTTTTGGTTTGCAACTATTGCTAGCCCAGCATTAGAACAAAATCAAACCAATGTGCATAAAATAAACAAAGTAATTCAGGAATCTTATTCAGTTTCTTGCTGCAATCAACTATTTACAAACAGCCAGACCTGTGCCTTCTAGCAAGGCACAATTTCAAGTCAGTATTCCTTCCGTACTTTCCAGAGACATAATACTTGTGGTCTACAGCCTCTGTAAAACAATATCCATCGAATCATCCCAATTTGAACAGGAAATTTTAGGTTACTCCGCATGAACATAGTTCCATTTCCACAAGCTCACAAACAAAGTAATGCATTAGGGATGTTCATCCTCGTGTTACCAATTTGAATTGAATCGATCATGTCGATAAATCCAGCCATGAACTATCTTGTAATCTACTGAATTGATGATTTATGCACCAAAAATCAAGGATATGTACAAAATTTTACCAGCCTTCCCAGAGGAAGAATCAATGCATGAAGAAAAGATATGAAACAGCTACAAGAGAAAGCAATTCAATGGGTTGCAGCCATAACATCCTCCAGATTACAGTTTACAATACTTTGTGTATTTGATACATTCATGAAAATAAACACTAAGCCTAAATTGCTCAGCAATGGCAACTCTCCCACTATCAATAACAAATAAGTTAGCTCAAAATAATCAAACATGAGCACATTATAACCCAAATACAGAAATCAATCAAAAATCCACATTTTGACGAAAATCAAAAACCAAATTGATTCAAGAATTTGACAAAAACCAATTAAACAAACCAAAAACACAGTAAAGTCAAAATTTCCCAAATGGATTTTCAACTTCATCAAAAACAAAAGTAAAAATAGTAACTTTCACTAACCAATTTCTGACTCCATTACAACTAAACTCCTAGAGTAACTACACTAACTTAAAAATCAAAAACAAAAAGACCCAAAATTAAAAAAATAATAATAAAGGAAAAGAAATGGCAGTGCTCAGCTCACCAGAACACTAGCTTTTATTCATGGGCTTCATTGCAGAAAACTCAACTGTTTATGCCGCCTCATCTCCAATATCTTCCTGTGGGAATTTGAGTGCAACTCACTTGAAAACGTTGGGCTACTCGCTGGACGATACTCAGGCACCAAACGGCCGGACTTATACCTCACTCCACATGCATTGCAAAGCGTTTTAGGCCCAAGCGGCCCTGCCCTCCATTGCGGTGTCTCTTCAGCCTCACAATGCTGGCATTTCCTTCCTATGGTCCTCGAACCAGCCCCCTTCGCAGTGGCAATGGCATTCTTCACATTCTCCTGAACCCACCAGCTGTTTTCCTGGTTCTTCAGGTCCCTACATTTGCGGAGCCGCTTGGACCGCGCTTTTACAGGTACTTTAACGTTGCCACAACAATGAATTACAACGTTTCCGTTGGGTAAGGTTGTGCTGCCGGAACTGTTGCTGTTGTCCAGCACTGACACCGGGCTCTGGTGCTTTGCTGCCGTCCCTAACATATCGACGAATGACGTTTCGACAGCTGGAAATGCATCCTTGTTTGATAACCATTCTAGTTCTTCCTCTGCAAATTCCTGCAAATTGTTAAAACAAAAACTTTTTGACTCAGTCGACTCGAACGAGTTAAAATTGTTCTTTTTTTTTTAATCCTGGGGCACTTTAGATGGGGGAAAAAGAAAAGTTTGGTCTCGTAGGATTCACGAGAGACGGTGAAAGATAATGTTTCAAAGCTGGACAAAATTGACTTTTCGCACTGGTGGAATTATAAAGAGATGGAGTGGTCGTATCAGTTTAATTTTTAATTATGGTGAAGAGAAAATGGAATCCTCGCTGGACATTTATTAGTACAGCTCTAAGCCTGGTGAGCAACAGCTCACATCGATAATGACATTTCTCCCTTTGAAATACTAAAATACCGAAACTACCCTCAATATGATGTCCATATTACGCGATCTTATCCAATAGCGTGAATGACAATGACGGGTAAATTTGTCCTGCTTGAAAAATAATGTGACAAGATGCCTGTTCAAATCAATGCCGTCCGCTTTGACCCGACCCGGGTCATTTTCAGCACTGACTCGCAAAAATAGCCCGAGTTCGACTCAAGCCAAACCCTAATTTCACTAACGGAGTCGGGCCGAGTCAGCTCTCGTTCTAGCTCCCCCAGCCTCCAAAAACCTACCAAACAGCAATGACTCGGCCGAGTTAGCACGAAACTCGGCCTCTTACAGCCCCCTCCAGAAAACAAAACCCAATATTTATCAAAAGAGCATAAACCCATGAAAGAAACACTTACAGGAAAGGAACAGTTAGGGTTAAGAGAAGAAGATGGGTTAATCTTTGAAAACTTCTTGTGTTTTTCATCTTCATCTTCCTCTCCGACGTCGGAGCCAAAGTCCAATAAGTTGTCCTCAAAACAAGCCGTCATGTCAAAAGCTTCCATTTCCTTCACAAACAAAAGAATTTTTTTCTCTTTCTGTTGTTTTTTTCAGACAAAAAAAAAAGTGAAGAACAAGAAGATGATGATGATGTTCTAGTGGGAAAATGAGGGGATGTCGATTTTTAGGGTTCTTTTATTGATTTATTTTTTTTCAGTTTTAAAATTTCCTTTATTTTCATAACGTATAATGGTGGGGAGTAATGCCTGTCTGTAACATGGCTCACGTTCTTTTCGTGAAATCAGATTGATTGATGAACTTTTTGCACATTTTTAATCCAGTGAGTAAAGGTACTTAAAAAGAATCAAGAGCTTGATTTTAAATTAATTTTTTTTATTTGTAATAAAATTTTACTTTTTTAATATATAAATTTTTTGCACATATATTACCGATTAAACCTCAAAATTTAAAATATATATGATAATGTAATAAATATAACATGAAAATAAAATTTTTAAAAAATATAATTTAAAATTTTAATAATTATTATTACAAATTTAATAAAATTAAAAATAAGTATTTTAAAATTTTATATTGATATAAATTTTAATATAAATTACAATACATAAATTTTATATAAGATATAATATAAATATATGAATTCTAATATTATATGTTATAAATATATAAGCTATCACTTTTTATTTTCAATAATTTTTTTGTTAATTAGTTTTATTTATCCAAATAAAAATTAATTGTTATTTAGATAAATATTACTAAAAAAATAAAAATTATAATTATTTCAAAGTTATAAAAAATGAAATAACTGTATCAAATATTTTAAAATAAAGCAACATTAGATTTTTAAAATACGAATTCTGACTTTTTTAAAAAAAAATAATTTTTAATTAAATTAATGTTAAACATTTCCAAAGGAGCTTTTTCAGTATTAGGTTACGAGGGGCATGAATATAAATACAGAGAGAGATTAAGGTATTATTGGAAATAAATTATTTATTTTTCTTTTTCCTTTTTATTGGGCCGGGCCGCCTAGCAGCGCCATGCCTAGCTAGGGACGACTTTAAATTATGCTATAATGCCAATAAGCTCCAAAATTAGCACGTCATTGAACCAATGGGAATATGACACGTATGTTAAGGGGGGGGGATATTTTCGAAATCTTTGACTTGTAGCCAACGGTGCACATGGAAGGAGATGTATTTGCATGGTGCATTTGCAAGTTTGCATGCGAGCGTGAGAGAGGGTGGGGTCCGCCACCAATCTTCTCCACTGTACCCGATGGGATTAGGTTAAATGTTGGTGTTCATAATTCTTACAGCAATTAATCACGTGGGAGTCACGTGCTGCTTTCTCTTCTCTGATTAGGCCTATTTTTTTTAAAAAGCTCAGTCCAAATCTAATCCAGTATGTTATTTAAATAATAATGTACTTTCGGCCTTAAAATTAAAAAATATATATTTATCTAATAAAATATGATTTAAATATTAATTTGAATCAGGGTTTTTGTCAATGGTACAAACGTTAGCACAGATTATTATCAAACACTTGTAACAGAAAGTACAGTCTAGGCTCAAACAAAGCCATCTTCAACAATCAACCACTTCCCTTCAGCATGTTGGGCGGCTTTGAATTTTGCATCATGGTATGGAAAGTTTGCATGATGCTTCTGGCAACTTGGCAATGCCAATCTTACTGCAGTGGCTTTGTGACTTTTTTATACTGCAACACAACAGTCTGTAACCGGTTTCCTCCCCTTTCACTCCAGCGTAATATCAGGAAAACGAAAATAAGAACTAAGGGTCTTAATGTGCCACGGTACTCGTCAGTTATGCTGGCTTAACTTGGAAAGAATTTGAATTCATTTGTTACAATGAACGAGTCAAGCAAAATTTGAGTGGTTTAATACCCAACTCAAAAAGGTTGTGAACTTAATCAAATTTAATCTGCCTTCTTGTTTTTTAATAATAAATAAGTAGACAAATAATGTTTAATGTCTATTTATAATTTTTGCCAAGCCTAATCAAGCCTATCGAGCTGTAATCAAGCCTACCGAGCCATAATCAAAGCCTATTGAGCCAAACTCAAGCAGCTCAATTAAATTACAAGCCAAACTCGGGTATGAAAAATGAAATTCAATTGAATTCAAAAAGAGTTTCAACCTAAACTTTTCAAATCAGTAGAGTTCGAGCTTGATAGTATATAAACTCGATTCAGCTCTATAAGCACAATCAAAAGAATATTTGTATGAACTTGTGTCAAAAACAAAAATGCATGGAAGATGGGTTTTTTTTTTATGATTTTTATTTCCACAAAAGACGGTTCCAAATAAACCGATTCTTCCTAGCAACAACAATGAGACAGTTTTGACCTTGATAAACAAAACTACCTACAAATTGCCTTCCAACTGAAACATCGAAAGACAAACAACTACAATCTCCGATATTCTTTTCTTTATGAGACGTAGGGAAGGAGAAAAAACAAAGATTAGATCGAAGCAATTTCGATTGGTGTGTTGTTAGTAAATAACCTTAATAATCCATGCCGCCAGGCATTGCTGGAACATCCTTCTCATCCTTAGGAAGTTCAACGACAATAGCTTCAGTTGTTGTCATCAATGATGACACACTGCATCACAAAAGCAACATACTCAGCTTCTTAGTTTTACAAATTATAAAGGCAAGCCCAAGCACAAAAGCAACCTAGAAGGAAATTTAGAGCTTACCTTGCAGCATCAACCAAAGCAGTTCTAATTACCTTCAACGGATCAATAATACCAGTCTTTACCATATCAACGTATTCACCTGGTTTTGAACAAAATGAATTAAGCTGCGTTCGTTTCATTAGAATGGTAAATACATGTAGTGTAAGAAACTTCTAAGTCAGTCACTGACCTTTGGCAGCATCATACCCAAGATCAGGGTTATCCTGCTCCAGCAGCTTACCAACAACAACAGCTCCTTCCGCTCCTGCATTTGAAGCAATTGTGTACACAGGTGTCTGCAACAGAGAATTTCATTTATAAGGGAGAGTTAAACTTCACAAATCAAAATTAACAGCATTTTGAAACTTTACAGTGGAAGAACTGTAATTTTTTCAGCAGTACATCTTGAAAAGAATTTAAGAAAGGAATTTCCAGAAGTTGATCCATCTATATATGCAGAAAAGATTTACAAACCTTTAGAGCGTTCTGTATAATTTGAACACCAATCTTCTGGTCAAAGTTGGCTGTAGGTAGCTCGTCCAACTTTTTCGATGCATACAGAAGAGCAACACCACCACCTAGACAGCAGGTGACTCCTTAAGTAATGTTTCCACTGAGTCCAAGTTTAATTGAAACCTCATGAAAAAACCACTACGACTTAAAAGTTTTTACCTGGCACAATACCCTCTTCTACAGCTGCCTTTGTGGCATTTAATGCATCTGTAACTCTATCCTTCTTCTCACCAACTTCAGCTTCACTAGCTCCTCCAATCTGCAATGTCCAGCAAATTCTGAGCTTTATTACCTCCATTCAAGCGGCAACAAATAGGAAAGAAAGCAGCTACTGCATTTCTAAATTAACAAGTTAAATGCCAGTAACTCAATGGTAATATACCTTCAAGACAGCCACGCCACCAGAAAGCTTTGCCAATCTTTCTTGCAACTTCTCCTTATCATAATCAGAAGTGCTCAATTCAATTGCTGACCTAATCTGTTATTATATAGGACAAATGTTAGAATCTGAATTATCAAGGAAATTAAATAGAGTTCAAGAATCAAAAGATGGCTAAAAGTTTGTCCATAAAAAGCAACAAGACCTGTTCGCATCTTTCTTCAATGGCTTTCTTGTCACCATCCCCATCAAGAACAACAGTGTCATCCTTTGAGACAGTAACCTGTAATAGCCAAAAAAAAAAAAAAAAAGGAATCATGCATGTCTGTACATATATAATAGGGATTCAATAGTTCTGTTTTACCAAACTCAAGAACTTCCTCATTATGGGGAACTGATAGAAAATCACATCACACAGAGTTTCACGTCCAAACAATTAATATCATACTTTTTTGCAAGTGCCAAACATGTCCAGATCCACCTTTTCAAGGTTCATGCCAAGTTCTTCAGTTATAACCTACAGTAGAGAAGTAACAGATATCATTCATCAAGAGGTCATGCAAATTCCTGTCAGTGAAACTGTATGTTATGAACCAGACAAACTCATATAGCAGAAAGTCGCCTCACCTCTCCTCCTGTGAGGACAGCAAGATCTTGCAGACTAGCCTTCCTGTTCTCTCCAAAACCAGGGGCTTTGATGGCACAGACCTGCATCATACATAATCCACGTAGGATTAGCAAGCATTCCAAAAAATTGAGGACAAATACACAGAAAAAAGGGGAAATTCACATCAGACTGAAAATCAAACCTTGATTCCAGCACGAAGCTTGTTAAGAATGAGTGTTGCAAGAGCTTCACTCTCTACATCTTCAGCTACAATCAACAACGGTCTTTGTCTCTGAACAAAATATAGCATAGAATAACGTTACACAAAAAATAACGACTAAGAAGTTTAAGACAGTTTTAGTGAGATAAACAAGTAGATCTTGATAAATGATGAGTACCAAAATGATGTCAGATGTAATGGTTTGAATGCATGCATTGAGCAAAATTTTCTTACCTTTAAAGCTAACTCTAGTACTTTCACCACAGCATTTAAGCTAGATATTTTCTTCTCATGGATCAGGATAAGAGGATTATCCAATTCCTGCAATAAAACAAATAAATTGAATCAGCATCATCACATGGTCAAGACTCAAGAGATATGACAGAAGTTCAGTCAGAAAAGAAATGTGTTACTTACACATTTTTGGTTTTTCGTATTGGTGATGAAATATGGGGATATGTAGCCCCTGTCAAGTTTCATGCCCTCAACAACTTCTAACTCATTAAATAATGTTTTCCCATCCTGCAAAGGTTTAACCCGTGGTATAAAATCATATCATGTGTTAAAAAAAAAAAAAAGCAAAGGATTTTATGTATGGCAAGCATGAGCAACCAACACTTAAAACATGAAGGCATCAAAACTTACCTGAATTGTGATCACCCCTTCTTTGCCAACCTTCTCCATGGCTTTTGCAATTAACTCACCAATTTCCCTCTCTCCATTAGCTGATATTGTTCCAACCTATTACAAAATATTTACATTGATGCCTTAGTAAATTTAAAGTTCACTACCATTTTAGTTTTGATTCTACAGTACTGCAACACTCTGACTGCAATAAGCTTTTGACAAAAAAAAAAAAAAAATCGAATAAGTAAACCAACCTGAGCTATTTCTTCAGATGTGCTAATCATCCGTGCCCGGCTTTTCAAGTTTGTTACAACAGCATCAACTGCCATTGTTATGCCACGCCTTAGGTCCATTGCATTCATTCCTGCAGCAACTGACTTGCATCCTTCTGTAAATATTGCTTCTGTAAGCAATGTTGCACATGTTGTCCCTGCAAAAATGTCAAAGAATTCTCATGACTCAGCTCTCTACATATAAACAACATGCATGCGTTTTGGAAACCTGAATGTCTAGGCTGACCAAGTTAGTACATGCAAAAAGGATGTATCTACAATAGAGTTAAAGAACAATAACCACAAGAAAGTATCTAAACAGAGTTAAAGACTTCAAATGAATCTATTAGATTTATGAAAGTGTATGTGCCTTACCATCGCCAGCTACATCATTGGTGGCATTTGCAACTTGTTTCACAAGACTAGCTCCAACATTCTTGACTTTATCCTTGAATTCAATGCTCTTTGCTACAGTTACACCATCTTTAGTCACTTTTGGAGCACCATAGCTTTGCTCAATAACCACATTCCGTCCCTTTCAACAAAAAAAGAAAACCATTAACAGATGCCACAAATAAATAACATTACTTCTTCCTTTCATCAATATTCCTAGCCATAAATTTTAAGTCCCTACTTCTTATCCAAATTAGAGAAGAAAAGGCATAAGCTCTTTCAATCAATGATGAAGACATGAAGAAAAGATTCATAGCAATAAAAATGGAGAATATTGGATTTACCTTAGGACCCATGGTGACTTTAACAGCATCAGCAAGCTCTTCAACACCTTTAAGCATCAAAGCTCGAGCTTCAACCCCAAATTTTATATCTTTTGCTGCATAGTTCCTATTCCAACTCAACCTACTACCAATCTAACACAAACCCCAAAAATAAAAATCAATAACAATATCAAATAAACCTTAACAAAAAAATAAGATAGTAACTACCACCAATTAACTACCTGATGTGTAGTGTTCCTAGCAATCCTGAAACAAAAGATTAAGAACAGAGAAAGAGAAAATTAGCTTATTTTAAAAGAACAGAAAATGAAACTTAAAAAATGATTAATGGACAAAAGTGTTGGAAGTGGTACCTGGCCTTAGAAGCGAGGCTTGAAGCGAAACGATACATGGGTTTTGTTTGGGAGGAAATAAAAGAGAAGAGGAAAGCTTGAAAAAGTGACAGATAAAGAAAATGAGAGAGCTAAGACAAAAGACAATAGAAGGATCGAGGGCTTGTCCTTTTAAAACCAGACAGAGAAGGGACAGAAGAAGAGTCTAGAAGCAGCTGTTTCTTTCTTGTTTAGGGTTTAGGGTTTTATGTTTTTTTTTTTTTTTTTTCTTTTAAATGTTAATTTAACCTCTTTTTTTAATTTCACCAGTTCGTTCACTTCACGAAATCTTTGTCGGATCCGATTCTCATTTTTCTCGGATTCAGAATGAACCCGACTCGCTTTTTTTGGTGGACCAAAAATGGATTTAATTCAAAGTTTGAGAGAATTTTCTTACTAGGAGTTAAAAAAAATTTTAAAAATTAAAAATCGATTCAAATTATAGTATTTGATTTTTTTATTTTATTAAAATAAAATTTAAATATTAAATATATATATTAAATTTGAATCAAATTTTGAATTAAAATATAAAAAATAAAAGAAATTTTGAATCAAATTATATATTTTTATTAATTTATATATATATTAGATGTTTTTTAAATAAAATAATTATTTTATAATAAATTTATTTAAATATATTAAAAATTATATTAAAATAATATATAAAAATAATTTAAAATTTAAAATCGATAAATTAAATAAAACTAATAAAATTAAATTTTAAAAAATCAATTTAAATTTAAATTAAATTTTAAAATTTATAATATAATATAATATCTAAGAAAATATAACCAAATTTGATTTAATCCATATCATCATCCCCGCTACTTCTCACAAAAATATTGAATTAAGCCCATTTAGGCCCTTCACTCTCGGCTATTGTCAATTAGACCTTTGTGAGATATGTAAGCATTGTTTGAACCCAAGTAACCATTTCCTCCACCTCCGACTGTCGAGTCATGTCAATTTTAAAAAAAATTACAAAATGTTGATAGTTTCATTAATTGTTTTATCATAATACCGTTTGCTGACAAATATTCTTAATAGTGACCTCATTTTGTAATTCCCTTAAACCTAATTCCTATCTTTCCCTGGAATACCCATTGCCTTACCCACCAACTATATAATTTTAATCTTAGCCGCTCTCATTGCCTTCTCCAATCGGTCATCTCTGAGGCGGAGGTGGTGATGGCAGAAAGAGGCGGAGGAGAACGTGGCGCTTTCAGGCGTGGCTTTGGCGGAAGATCCGACCGTGGTCCAAGAGGCAGGCGCCGTGGCCGCAAGGACGAAGAGGAGAAATGGGTACCCGTTACAAAACTCGGCCGTTTAGTCAAATCGGGAAAAATCACATCCCTCGAACAAATCTACCTCCACTCACTCCCCATCAAAGAGTACCAAATCGTCGACCAACTGGTTGGCCCTTCACTCAAAGACGAGGTCATGAAAATCACTCCAGTCCAGAAACAAACGCGCGCAGGCCAGCGCACTCGTTTCAAGGCCTTCGTCGTCGTCGGCGATGGAAATGGACACGTTGGGTTGGGGGTGAAATGTAGCAAAGAAGTTGCGACGGCTATTAGAGGGGCGATTATATTGGCGAAGTTGTCGGTGATACCAGTGAGGAGAGGGTACTGGGGGAACAAGATCGGGAAACCTCATACGGTGCCGTGTAAGGTCACTGGGAAATGTGGGTCCGTTACTGTTAGGATGGTGCCTGCTCCGAGAGGTGCGGGGATTGTGGCTGCTAGGGTGCCCAAAAAGGTGCTTCAATTTGCTGGGATTGAAGATGTTTTTACTTCTTCCAGGGGTTCTACTAAGACTCTTGGTAACTTTGTCAAGGTATTGAGTTTTTCCTTATAATTTCTATTTGTTCTGTTTTGTTGTTATTTGAGATTGTTTATGGATTTAGATCTATTTGGAAATGGGTTGTTAAATGTTTTAGTTCCCATACCTAAACTTTATGATTGTTGGTTACCAGTTGTTTCTTTGATACTATGAGTTATTATGGAATGTTTGATTTTTTTTTTGGATTATATTAGTTAGACCCAGTAATTCATGTAATGGTGTCATGTAAAACTGGCAATTCATGTATTTGTGTAGTGTTTTACAAAAAAAAAGAAAGAAAAAATTGCATGTTACAATTTGTGCTGTCATGAAAAACATGAAGTACTTTTTTTTTTTTGTTAAACCTGGTTTTTCGCATTTTCAATTGTCAGGTCTAATATTAGTGATATGAGTTATTGACATGTTGTGAGGTGTATGTTACTGAATTAATTGGATACGAATTGTGACTTAGGTTAGGTGGTGACTGATGCATTGTTTCATGTGTCATTTATTGACATGTTAGAAGGTGTATGTTACATACCATCCCATCCTAAGCTTTCATGGCTTCTAAAAATGGTAAAACCAACCTCCTATCAACAACAGGTTTGTGTCCTTATTTTGCACTGAGAGTGACTGAGGAAGTGAACATATGGACATGGCAGTTTAATCTGCCATCTTCATTTTCTCTCCTTTTTATTTGTACCTTGGCTTTTATGTCTGTTAAAGAGAGAAAGATGGAAATTGGGATGGGTTAGTTTTTGTGGGTGAAAGGAGAGAGAGAGGAATGCTATAGAATTTGAAGATTCTTACTAGGGGGAATGAGAGAAAAAAATTTTCTTTTTAACAAAACAATAATATTAAAAATAATAATTCTGTTATAGTTGCTACCGCTGCTTTGCATCTTCTTCCTTTTTTTTTTTCCTCTTTAATCTGTCTGCAATTGTGGCAGCAAGTATCGATATCCACAGGGTCAGGATTTTTGCGGGGTTGTTAATGTACATCATTCAATGAACTTCTAACAAACTACAGGGAAAAAAAGGCTTCCCATGTTATAAAATTTAGTATGTATGTGTGTGTATGTGTGTGTATAAAAGCTTTCGTTCTTCTGTTTCACGTTCGAATTTGTATTGTCTCACACCCTTGATAGCTGTTTATTTGTTGCATGATTATTTGGAGATGCTTATTCAGTTATTGGTGATATATGATTGTCTGTTGCTCATGGAAATGTGATTGCAGGCCACCTTTGAGTGTCTTCTGAAAACATACGGTTTCTTGACTCCTGATTTCTGGAGAGAGACGCGGTTCACAAAGTCTCCTTTCCAGGAGTATACTGATCTGTTGGGAAAGCCAGTGAAGTCCCTTGTAATTGAAGATGTGGAGAGGTTGGATGTATGATTTAAATTTATGAATCATTAGTAAGATTCAGGGCCATTGGTTTATGTTAAGAGGAGTCTATCTTAACGTTTCTTTGCTTGTTGGCTTGTCCTGAGATATACAGTAATTGATCATGAACTGCTGTTTTGTTTTTCTCTATCTGGATTCTTTATAACATTTGTGGTTACATCATGAGTTGAAGTCTTTTTACTTATGTTCTCCTTGTGAACTAATGCTAGCTAAAGATTGAACATGATTACAGTCAAAATTAACTTAGGCTACATACATCATGGCCACAATAAAAATTTCCCTTTTTATCCTATATATATATATATATATATATATATATATATAGATAGATAGATGTAGATAGATAGATATGCATGCGCATACACACACACACACACAAGATACAAGACTATTTTTATGGCTTAGAAGTTTAAAATTAAAAGAAGTTATTTAAATTACAATCCAAATCCAATATTAGTTCTAGATAAGCTCTTTGATTTAGAGTAAATCATTTAAAATTAAAATTTTAATAATTTTATTTTTCAATATGTATGATGAATTATTTTTAAAATCATTTATAAAAAATTTTCAATGAAAATAATAAGTAGCTTTTAACCCTGAATTTTTTTTTTTTAATATTAACCCTAAACTTCTAAATCTAATAGTAATTGATTTCATTGTGAATTTCAAACATTATTTTATCATGAAAGTAATCCTTATCATGAAATCTCAATTTGATAGGAAAAGGCATGTAAATAACTTGGAATTCTATTGCAATCAACAACTAAAATTCCAACTACGGAAAGTTTGGAAAACAATCCAGATTCAAGCCAGAGAACACTTTCTTGTATGACAAGGCAACAGGTCAACCCCAACAAAGCCTTGCAATCTACAAGTTGCTCCATTTCTCCCATTCCAATTAACAAATAGATACTATTGCTAGATTTTCACCCTCCTATTGCAACTCAAAAGCACAAGAAGACCAAAGACATATACATGAAAATGTAAATTCATTAATTGAATAAACAATACATTGAAAACCCTAGTTCACATATTCAAGCTGTTGGCAAATTGATTGCTTCAACAGATGTTCCTTTTCTGGCCTGTGCAATTCTGTTGGCATAAAGAGTCACCAGACGCAACTGTGCACCATTTAGATCCTGCAAGTATGGCAGGAATGCCTTCCCGAGCATGACATAAATGTCGACCAGGCAGAAAACAACAGTCTGCTACCAACATGGCCAAATAGATGATTGAAAATAGTGAGCATGGTTGATAAATTAATACCAGTCAAGGAGAAACCTAAACAAGTTGTGATTATGTTTTAATTTGACTGATTATTCAATCAATTGGTAGTTAGGCACTTGGATGAATAGCCAAATGCTGCCTTTCTGCATTCTTTTATTGTCTGAAGCTCGAAATTCTTTTAGCATTCAGATCTCTAATACTTAAATGTCATTTCAGATATGTTACCTAGCATATTCACTGAAAAGTAAAATATAATAAAACTTTTAATATGCAACTCTGACAGATCAGTTCTAAATATCATTGTCCACAAATGGATTGCAGCAAGATGGACTTGAAGAAACTTATGGCTAAGGTGTAACTTAATTGGTGATCAGTGGCTATACCATTCTATGTATGTGAGGGATCTAAGCTCAAATTAAACTCCTAGAGATATCCAAAACAAAGAACATATCTGCAGCACATGTCCCTACACCAAAAAGGGTTTTAAGTATATTTTTCGGCCATCAACAGGTTTCTAAGTTCAAAGTGCACTTCTATAGCTATCTGGAAACACTACACATCCGCACCAAATGTACCAACAAGCAAAAAGTTTTACCTTGCGAACTTCAGCACTCTGATTGCTGAATGCATCAAAAAGAACTGGTAAAAATGAAGGTAGCTGAGCCAGTAGTTCCTCTTGAGAAAGCCGGTGCACAAGCTTGCAAAGGCAGAAAAAATGAGTCTATTACGAGACAATGAAACAAGGTAAACAACTACTTGGGGATTTAATAGAATGGTATGCATCCAACTTAAAATTATTGGCCATAGGTGAAGACACCTTACTTGAATATAAGGTTACAACTAGATGATATTTCTTATTTATTTTGATATTTCATTTTGTCATTCTTATTTGGATGAACTGTTTATAGTTGACAAACACTATCGGTCCCCCCCCCACTCCCAACAAAACAAAAAGAAAAATTCTAGTGTTTTGCACCTTTAGTTTCAATAAACCATTTTTTCATCATTAAACTTCAGCACCTCAAGACATCATAAAGATATAATCAGCTAAGGAATACCTTGGTTAATTTCTTGACGCAGATAATAAGAGTTTTCTCATCTTCGGTGATTAACAGGGCTACAATAACCTGCAACTCAGCAAATGAAACAAAATTATGTCAGAAGAATTCAACATTAGTGCAAAAAAACTCATGAAAGTTGAGTAGACATACACTCAGACAGCTAAAAGGATCATATTCTGATAAAATAATAGATAAGCATTTCTCTGCGTCAATTGAAACCTGAACACAAAATCTGAACGTATTAGATTCAGGGAAGGGGTAAGATTAGGTCTTAGTCTATTAAACTGATGAAAAAAATGGCACCTTGGAAACTGCATCCTTTGCGATATGAAGTAACTTTTCTATTACAATTTCAATAGAATCTTCCATCTCATCTTTCTGGATTCACAAAACATAGATTAAAAACACATTAGAAAATAATAAAAACATAAGAAAATTTTGGAGAGAATAAAACTATTCAGAACTTCATTTGATGCATAGAAAGTTTTAGTTCCACAAACCTGTTTGTTCACCATGTCAGCCACTAACTGCAAGGTGAATTCCCTAGTTGAAGAATCAGGATCATCCAACACCTCAACAACAACTTTCAGAATCTGATTGAAATGCTGCAAATAAATAATCATCCACCATCATCAGCATATTGCTGCTAAGACTTTATGTCACTCCCTTCGACATGTTACTAATTAAGATTCCATCAAATGAATGGATCATGAATTTCAATTAGATTATACCTTTGTCCATATGGAATAATAGTTACGATCCATGGAAGCCTCTATGAGTTGCTGAAGTGCCTGCTGTCTAACAGTTGCACTGTCTTTGTTGTTAGAAATCTAGAAAAAACCAAGAGTAATAAGTAAGGCAATGAGTTTATTCGTTTGTAGACAATAACATAAAAACAAAAACAAAATTACTCTGATAAAATTTGCTTTTCAGAGAAAGGGACAAGTAAAACGGGGGGAGGGTTAATGAAAGGGACCTCTAACATTCATAGTTCACCTGGTGAAGAATTTGAGGAATGATGATACGTGATTTTAGAGAAGAGCAAATCTTTATATTTTTGGACTTCTCACGATTATGATTGACATCAACAAAAGTGTCACTACCAACATTGGAACTGCTTACTCCAGGATAATTAGAGCTTGTCACTGTATTCATGTCAAAACATGATGAAGGCAAGTAATTATCCTTAACATTTTCATAATCAACACCATCAGGGTGGCTCATAGTGGATTCCACATTTTCATCAGAACCAGTAGCAATACGTTCTAAAATTTGCGCTGGTTCTTGGATGGAGAACAACTTCTTGCCGCTATCAATATCACTAGAACCTGAAGAATACCTTCCAAAATAATAAACTTTCTTCAATGCACCAGTATATTCATCCTCAGGAGAGAGTCCAATATCGGATGGCTCATGAATGTTTCTAGGACGTGGCCTTTCTCTCTTGTTCTGCAAGAAGTTCATAAGATCCATTTCAATTCGAGGAGTTTGCTGCTTAAGAATTCGCCTTAGAGAATTTTGCTCTTCGACTGACATACACATGATGTAGTGTAAAACACCAGTTGAGTCGTAGTTAGTATGTACAGAAACAATGCAAGAAATGGCTGCTTCTTTTAGTTTTGTGTTTTTATCATAGATCAAAGTTATCAATTTAGCAAGCCACAGCTTTAGAATGCCACTATTAGCGGCACCTTCAGAATTCATGGCATTCTTCTTGAAGGAATCAATAGCATATTCTATAACAGCCAGTTTTGCCTTTGGTGATCTCTGTTCATCTAATGCACGGAGCAAAGCAGGTAAAAGAGAATCTATACCATAGGCTTTGCTCACAACTTCCAAATTCGTTACAGATAGCTGCCGAACTAATTCCTTGGGATCAATTAACCTTGAAAACACATGGTGTAAGATTCGATCCAAATAACTTTCAAAAGGTTTTCTACATGCTGGAATTATATCAGCAAGAGCAGAGAGAGCAGCCTGTGCAACTTTATGGTGGGGATCATCCAAGTGTTGGAAAAACAACTTCATGACTTTCTCAAAATTCTGTGCAACTTCTTGGACACCTTTTTGGTCCTGCTGCAGGAGACTTCTGACATAATTAAAAGCAGCAACCCTAGCAGACCAAATAGAATTTGGGCTGAGACCCTCTGTCAGAGCCTCCTGGAGTGATGCTGGACCATCCACATAGTTTGACATTTCACCAAGTAATATCTGATTATCGTTCAGACAGCTTCTACTGTTTCCAGAAACTCGACCAGATATATTCCTTCTTAAAAGTGGCCTTTGGAAGTTAGGAATAATATTACCCTGCGAGTCCCTAAAATTGGCATCCTTAGAATATGTCTCTACATGCTGTCTGTCAATATGCTTATTTACTGATTTCCTGGCAAACCTTTCGTCAGAGTGCTCTTCCATAAAACCACCTCCCAGTTTCTCTAAAGCTTGCTTCACTGAATTTGAAGATGAAAAAGCTAAAAAAAGGTTCAATGGTTAGACTAGAGCAGTGAGAAAATCGCCTTATCAAAATCTCTTGAAGCTTGAATGAGGTCAGAAGAAATGCATATAAAACCGACAACAGAACTCCTACCTTTAACAGTTGATGCAGTTGAGTCAGTGAAAATAGCATTTGCAGTAACAGCTGAAGCAGTGACAGTAGAGAAGAAAGGAAGGCCACGAACTGAAAGAGGGTCAACTCCTGCACTAGGAACCACAAAGAAAATTTGCATCCACATTGAGGAACATATTAGACACAAAGGAAACACTAGCTCCATGAGTGTGATATGGAAAGCTCTCAATGGATTTCTTGAGCTACTTAGCATATACCTAAATCCAAGCTAGCTGACCGCTTCTTTTGAAAATTGTGTTTCTCAGATATATCTAAACCAGCAAGCACGTTTTGAATTGCAGGCGTCCTCTGTTTGTTTGCATGTGGAATGTTCTCAAAAGTTCTTTCAGTACCATTTCCATGTGACTTCACTTCTGAGAAAAATGGACCAGAGGATAGAGGAATGCCTACTGGCACAGCCCTGCTCCGATCCATGGTGGTAACTATAGAAGTTCCAGGTCCAGGTAAATCTGTAAACGTAGGTGCTTGAAAAGCCTTATGGGATTTACGGACATCCCTTCCTCGAATTGAAGGAGAAGGGTGGCGTCTGTGTGTGGCCCCATATTCATCATTTATCATCTGTTTGATAAATAAACTATATAATTTAACCAATCCATCAACCAAAAGTGGGAATTAGATAAAAAAAAGAAAAGAAAAGAAAAGAAGTTTATACCCTTTGGATGACAGGATCAAAGGACAGAAATAGTTCCTGAGAACGTTCTGGCCAAGTTTTCTTGAACATTCTGTAGCAACGTCTAGCATTTGACCGTACCTTTCATTGTCCAAGATTATCGGAGATAAACCACATCATTGAGCATAATTTCTATAGAATATATATATATATATATATATATATATTTATATAATGCAGAACCAACAATAGATGGTAAATGCTCAGTGTGTAAGGACATGGAATCTAATAACCAAGGAGGAATGACAGCATTACCCCTTCCCCCACAAAAAGAGCAATTAAAAAGAAGCAAGAAGAAGAGTGACAGTTAAAATCAACCTGAAACTCAAAGAACAAGGAAAACAAAGATTAAGAAGTAAAACTTCAAAAGAAAAAAGAAAAAACAAACAAGGAAAAGAAATAATGAAACAAAGTTCCCACCTAGTCCTTGCAGTGCAAATAACTCTTTATAACCTACATAAATAACCAAACTCTTAGCCAAATCCTAAAAGTAAATTTCAATGACATAACCATTTCATGATATATTCTAACTTTCACAAACTTGAGCAATAATCCATTGCAACAGAAATAGCCGCTTTTTTGTAGTTAGTACCTGCATCACCTACCTTTCTATATTCTTACCCACTTTACTGTTTCTTTCAATCTAAAACTCCTTTCAGGTCAAATAAAACTAACTACAGATGGTTATAATTGCCAACAGGAATTGCAGCATGAGACTTGAGACTTCTAGGAACTGTTCTATAAGACAAAGCAGCATGAACCCAAGTTTAAAGAGAATGCATGAACAAATAATGAAGATAAGAGTTCTCATTAAAAAGATGAAAGAAACAAAAATGAACATAGTAGCTACTTTTTCCAGCTGTACTGACATTCTTTGGTTAAATCCAAAATCTATGTCATTCTCTCATCATATCAAAAGATCTATGTTCAACTTTCTGGACATAACGAGAATGAGATATATAATTATAAATACAAATCTAATATATCAGAATCTAGTTTCCTTCTTGACAATAAAAACAACTATGAAAGCAATACCTCACTCATTGCATCTGCTATACAGCATTTTATGAGATCCTCGTAAAGATCAGCTGATCTCTGTATTTCTGGCGCATCAGCCCAATACTCTAGCATCAGAAGTGAGTACTCACAGCATCTGTAATTGAGAATGAGAGTTGTGAGAGGATCCATAGTTATTATGCATAGGTAATTAGGGAAGGAATAAAAAACCTAGCACGGAGTACTGCATTGCGGTCATGTTTTGCATGATTAACTATTTGAGAAAGCACACGGGAAACTTTGCAATTACGCAGCATCTGGACAGTGAAGAAATGCATCAATACAAGCAACCAGGTAAAAAACAGAAAAAAAGTTACAGAGATTTTCATATTGTCTGCACATACTGTTTTGATGCAGGTGTCCGCAGATTCAGCAATTATAAGAACAGTTATCACAACCAGCTTGAAAAGGACCTAAGAAGGGTATCAAATGATAATGTTGGAACTCAGAACTCAGAAGCAACCATATGTTTAAAAGAAAAAAATATGTAAGCATAGTATTGAGGATGTTGTGAGTTGTGACCGGCTAAAGCTACCATATTTACTGGTATTTTTATCAGACAAGAAAACATTCTTACCGGAATGAACATTTCTGCGCAAGCCTCAAAATCTCCCAACAACTCTTGCGACAAGAAACTTAAGAGATGACAGGCCTGAGGGAAACAAGAAGGAGTTTAGAACAACACTTGTTTTGAAGAATAAACAAGTTCTGTAATTTGCTCCAAGATACATGATTCTGTTTTTGTATTTTAGTTATCTTAAATTCCAATCTGCGTATTATGAATTTATTCATTTTAACTTTACTATGTCTATTTCTATGCATTTTATTATTTGATTTGCTAAAAGAATGTCCAATACTTAGTGCTGAAACAAATTAAAAATATGTTAGCATTAAACAGTTATATATTTGGCTGTTTAAAACATAGCATCATTTGTTATTTAAAACTCATCTTATATCTCAATCTGTGCCTTAAGATTTTATTGATCATTTGTTGTTGTATCTCTTCTATAATCAACATTAACTATAGCCTTCAGTGTTCCGTAGGCTATCTGGATATACGTAAAGGGTACTCTATGCTTGTGATAGACGGGGCAAGCAGCAGGGAGATATGAAATTAGAAGCTCAGACATTTGCAAAAGCAGGTAAGCATGGCATCCTCCAGGATATTACATCACTTTAACTAATTGAAGAATACCGGTAAAATAAAATTATAAAAGACAAATCTTGGACATGAAGAAATTGCTAATGCATGATGCAAAATATCATTAAATGCAGAGAAGGGTTTTCAGGCCATGGAAGGATTTGACCTTCAATGGCAACCAGCAGAGGAAACCATATCAGTGACAGCACAGTTTCTAATTACTGAGTTATCAGTCTTTGCAGGCAAGTTCAACAAACCTGCTTTACAATGCTAGACCTTCGATCAGATAACTGTCTGCAAAGAGGTGCAACAAGTTGCTTCAAGAGAGCATGAAAGCAAGGATAATCAACAGCACCTAACAGAAAAAAAATAGAGAATTAAATACTTAACATACATTGTAAGCCCCACAGCATCATGACTATAGAATGTTTTTAGCATATGAATGCATTTGCATTTCACATAAATTTCACCATATAAGAAAAACTAGTTTCCACTTTCAAGTTTAAAGACACGCACGCTGTCCAACGCAACTATAGAACATCAATTTCAAAGTTATCATGCAGTCAAGAGCACCCATTTCAAAATTTAGTCTTGGATATTTAGCCTGGTGAAAAATGAACAGGCTGCAAAGTATCATAAGGGATCTTTCATGTACTTCTGGAGCACATGTTTCCAAATAACGCAGCAAGGCATGATAGGACCCATTTAGCCAAACCCCACCTAATGGAGAAAGGCTTAATTAGCTCTTATTTAGTGTTAAATATTTGGCATATCTTTGTTTTCGGTTGGCCATTTTAGTTTAATCTTCAAATGAAAACAATATATTTTTTTTATTATTAAGTAAATTATCTTGATTTGAGCTGGTAAACAAGCTTAGGTTCATAAACAACCTCAGCATCTCAGTCCATAAACAAGCATGAACTAAACTAGTGGAAGTATACGACTCAAGCACTAGCTCAAAGTTAAAAATTCAAGCTTGAGTTAGCATGATCAAGGTCAAACAAGCTTAGCTTGAGTAAACTTAGAGAGAAGAAGAACAAAGTGATAAATAACACAAACCTCCAATGACAAGAGCTTTAACTTGTTGCATGGCAGCTATTCGAAAAGAACAATCATTTTCCCCTGTAAGCATACATGCAATCTTCTCCATTTCTCTTAGTAGCTCCTTTTCAGAGTATAAAGTAACTGGAACTACCAGTTTATCTGTTAAGTCAATCTCTCCTATATAACACATTAAATAAGCATATTAGTGGGTCATGCCACTGTAACCTAACTAATTTGACAGCAAAACAACACAGAAGGTGCTCAAACTAAGGTAAACTTCTAACAAAAGGAATCACAGGATAATCTACAGTTAATGGCAACAATATTAATACTTCATGAATCAAATTTGAAGTGGAATTGTAAACCAAACTACTAATAGTCATAGCACTTTGTTTTATTTATTTATTGGGTTAATTTTACGAGTGCCACCTGAATTAAAGTGAAATATTCAATATGGTACCTAATCTTTAAAAATCTCTAATGTAGTACCTGAAATATGAATCCGTTAACTAATGCAGTACTTGGATGGCTCTTTATCCTCTAGGTGTCATCATTTGGAGCTAACCACGTTAGTTAGTACAACATTAATTAACATATTAATAATTTAGGTACCATATTAGAAATTTTTAAAGTTCAAGCATCACATTGAAAATTTTATTATAGTTTAGGGGCCATTCGTAACATTAACCCTTATTTATCTTTGGTTCCATGCAGTTTGGAAACATTAAATTAAAAATCCTAACAACTTTATTTCTACTGACATAATCACTAAATTTAAAGAAATTTTGGCCAGCTTCCTGATGAAATCATATGAAAACATTATACATCCTAGAAAAAAATACTAGAAAATTCAAACAAGTTGCATCATATTGTGGCATTGCGTATGAGCTGAGGTATGCGAGCTTACCTCCAGAAACAGATACCTCTTTAACAGAACCCTTTGTCTTAGGACTGGTCTCTGCTTGGTTCCCCTTGACCAAGTCAACTCCATCAGGGGAAGTACACCACACAAGTCCATTGGAACTGCAAACCTTTGGCTCTATCTGCTGTAGTCTGCTATTAATATCTCCTAACTGCAGTGAAGGATTGCACTTTATGAGAATGATAATCACAGGAAACTGCCAAGTAGTTAGCAGAACAATTTTCCAACTACTCAACGTTGGTTCCAATCTACAATGTAATTAAAACATGTAAGAAATGAAAATAAACAATGTATAAATTCAATCAAATCCTTTTAAATAAAATATAAAGGTTTTAGTGATCCAGAAGGCCCTAATCACTTCACAAAAAAACCACAAAAATTACTACCATTACCATAATGGTTAGAAAAAACCACGAAATAGCCAAAAGCAATAATGCATAACATTACCACTGATGAGGGAAGATTGTTTTGCTGGAGTTCAGCAAGAAATTGAGGCCCAAACTGCATATACATTTCCTGAAAATAAACAATTAATTAATTAAAGTGACCTGCCTCATTCTTTGCATTATATGATCCTGAAGGACTAGGGAACTCAAATGTATTATCTATCTACATCAAAGAAGAAAACATAGACAGCGCAAAGTAAAAGGAGTTGATTGAAACAAGTGACTTGGAACTTTGGTAGCATAATGCAGAAATGCCTTATTCATCTTACTCACACCCAGAAACAATGAGAAGTGTTCCAACTGGCCAGTCTCATTTTTCTTATTTAAAGAAAAAAATAAATCAAAGCAAAAATAAAAGAGGGAAAGAGAAATTTGTATTAAGCTGATGACTTGATCTGAGGCAGAACAATGGAGCCAGGGGTGATTGGGGACAACTAACCACAACTGTAGTTGAAAAGATAAAATAGGTCTTGGAAAGAATCATAAAACACACACACACACACACATATAGATTTATGTATGGCACATTCATGCATGTAACAACAAATGGAAGAATTATGAGTAGGAGTTTTTTATGCGTAGCTGCAGTTTCAGAGAAAGAAGAAAAAAGACCTGAATGCACCTATATTAAAGAGAAAAAGGTGTTTATTTTGCATTTTCTATAACAAAAACTATTTGGCCAATTAAAAGAGAACTGCCTGAACTCATAATGGCAATTACCTCAACGCACAACGTAGCTGCTTCTCTAATGCTCTGAGTTGAGTCATTCAACATCTGCAATACCTGAAAAAAACAAAAAAAAAAAAAAAACCTTAATGAGTATAAACAGAACAAATTTTCTGAAAAGAACGGCACCTGAAAGTTATTTATTCCTAAGCCACTAGGCCCTATGGACATACAGGAGGAAGAATAGCCTTCATGAACTCCATAGATGCAAACACAGTGATGGCAGAAGTGACAATCTTCAGAAACTCTTCACGAATTCTCAAGCTGTTATGCACCCAGGTGACAGGCCCAAATTTGTCAACAATGATAGTTGGAGAAGAAACCTACAGGATTAATGATTAATTACACGCAATCAGGTCCACATATTTCATTTACAACTCTCCCAATTTAATAAAGTTTTGTCAAAAGATAAAGAGAAAGGGAGTGGGGGGGGGGGGGGGGGAGAAGGTATTGGGAGTAAGAGTGGGGGTTCTATAAAAAGTATAAATCAGAGTTCAATCATATAAAAATGGCTGGAGATATTATCGAAAAAAGGTAAAGAGCTCATAAGAATGTAACACAAGCTGCTTAGGCGAAATTCAGCCCTTATCAACACCAAGTTCGTCTGTTAACATCCTACACGTGCAAAGCAACATACTGAACAAATCAACAAATTAATGCACAAAATAGAAAGTAATGGATCAGATCAAATTGAAGAATGTTATCTATAATTATGCCAAAAGCAGATCAAATCAGCCTATAGCAACCAGCAATTCCACGAGCCCCAATGGAAAATCATAAAGTCAAATGAAAATGCAGGTCAACGGGAGACAACTGAATTGACAAAATTAAACACTATAAATTCACTTTCAAAAGATTAACAGCACAACATAAAAGAGTGAATGATAAAGAGGTATAAATGTGACAAACTAAAATTGACCAAATTAAGTCTTCATCAACCAGAGAAAACAAAAAATAATAAAAATCTGTAATTCAAAAGGAAATGAACTTAGAGGAATCACCAGAAAACCCAGAAAACTCCAAGGTATTAAAAAGTTAACTGCATTTTAAATCATTACTTGTAACGGAAAAGAAAAGAAACCAACAAACCTCCATGAAAGTCAACAACAACCCTCTAGCTGCATCACGCAAAGGCTGCTTGTCATCCCCTAAACACTCCACAACAGTATGCAAAACCCCATCAAAATGCAGCTTCAAATGGTCAGCTGAGAGCACGGCAGCAGATGCTAGACACTGTAGAGCTCCCAAAGAGGCCTTTAAGTTAGATGGGTCATTGAGGAGGTCAAGACAAGCTGACACGAGAGATTCGACGTCAGAGGAAGACAAAGGTTTGGTGGAAGACTGGAGAAGAGAATGAAGAAGCTCTGCCCCTGTTGCTCGGTCCTTTGGGTCCTTGGAACGTGCCAGTTCAAGAGGCTTCTCCATTGGGTTCAAGCTGAAAATGAAAGATCTATGAGAAGAACTGACCGTTGGGAGTTTGAGTTTGGAGTTGAGTGAGGAGTGAGGAGTGTGGAGTGAGGGTGAGGACAAAGCAATAAATATGGAGTGTACAAATTGGTTGCCCCAGAAGCCAGCCTACTAAAGATGAAGCTTTTTCAGCCTTCTACAACGTGAGAATGAAGAAAAGAACAACGCCCTGTTAGTATTTCTTCCTAGATTTGATTAATTAATGCTCTAACTCAGATTTTTCTACGGCTACAATAAACAAAAAGAGTGTAATTTAATCGTGTCTATATAATTTAAATGATTCATAATATAATGTCTTAAGTTTTTTTTTTTTTTGGCTAAACTAATGTATTAAAAATTTTTAATTTCTTGAACAGGGCAGTTTTATTTTTCTTTCCCAAATGAGTTTTCTTTTACAGACTAGCATAAACAAGCCATCTCAACCCCTTTTATATGGTTAGGCAAAACAAAAAAACCCTTTAATTTCTTTTCTGATTTTCATATACATTCTTTCTTTTATTTTTTTAAACAGAAATTTGAAGAAATTGGTTTTATTTTATTTGGCAGAAAATGTAAGAAAATTAAAGATATGTTTTTTCATAAAATGTTAAGTAAAATATGAAGAAAATATCTTATCCTTTTGGTGTCTTTCTTCTGATGATTCGTGATGGCTTTAGATTTCATAACGAGATCGTAAATTAATCATTAAATCAAAAATTTAAAAATCAAAACTTGATTTTCATACATTGAGATCATAAATTAATTATTAAATCAAATGTTCAAAAATTAAATTTGATAAAAAATTAAATTAAAAATATTAAAAATAAATACTGCAAATGGATTTTGAATTTCAAGTTAAATATTATTTTGGTCTCAATTTTCAAAAAGTTTTATATCGATCTTCAATTGCCGAAATGTATAATTATTTTGATCTTTTCGACTACGAAATCGATTGTTCTTACATTGTCTACTAACATATTAAAAAAACATTTTTCTTTTTTCCTTTTTTCTTTTTTGTTTTCCTCTCTTCTTTTTCTTCTTCTCATTCCCTGTCGGCAAAGACGAATTAGCATCAGCGAGGATCGGATCAGGTCCAATCGACCCTACATCATTCGGGTTGTGAGAATAACAGCAACTGTCGCCGCTAATTCAATAAAGGGGAAGTCAGATTAATGAAATTGAAACTCAATTCTCTCCTCTTGATTAGCAAGGGCAGGGGCTAATCTGCCTCCAGCCAACTATTCGGTGGCGTTGGTTGGGCCAAATCAAGCCCTTGTCGATGCCAACTGGCCCTTAAACAACAAGAGAGAGATTAGGAGAATAAAAAATTACCTTAGTGGGAAAAATATGCTTTTGCCATAGAGTAAATGTAAGAAATATGCAAAAGGCGAGACTGATCCACGTGCAACTCACATCAATATGTTACAACAAAAGTAAAAAAGATTAAAGAAAAATAAAAACGTTTTTCTTTTGAGTTCTAAACACACCTCCCCTTTTTTTATAAATACACCTTTTTTTTTTTTTCAAATTTGTTATAATTGAAATTACTTGAATATCCCTCATACAAGTTTTTTAATATTTATAATTTTTTAAAGTTATAATATTTTTTGAAAATACACTTTTTGAATGTGAAAAAGTAAAAATTTATGAAAAATTACAAAAAAAAGAATTTTGTTACAATTATTTATAAATTAGTTTAATGAAAAAATTATTATTATAAAAAATTATAAATTTTAAAATTAATAAAAAATATTTTTTACAATTTTAATTTAAAAAAAATAAAATCTTATGAGATTTTAATTAAATATTTTATCTTTTAATGTTATAAAGGGTAATGAAAAAATTATCAAGTCTTATCGACATATAAGAGTTGAAATTTATTAAAACTATATAAATAATACTACTGAATACTATATAATTTTATCAAAATATTACAAAATTACCATTGTCATATTCTCAATCTCGTATAAATTTGAAAACTGGTATGAAGGGTATTGAAAAAATTAGAATTAACTTGAAATTAAAAATTTTATTAATTAACATTATATGCTTTTGAATAAAAAAATAGTACAAGTAATATTATTGAATATTACATAATTTTATCAAAATTTAATTTGTTAATTAAAAAAATTTATCATGATAAGTAGATGAAAAGACTTCTCCAAATAGTTCAGTTTAATTAAAATTATTATAATTTTAATATTTAATATAAAAAGTAATTATTAAAAAATGATGAATTTTAAATTTATAAAAAATTATATTTGTTATTTTATCTTTAATTTAATTAAAATCTCATATTTTTTCTTTAAAATGAAAATAATAAAAGTAAGTTTTTTAATTTAAAAATTTATAAATTTCTAATTATAATTTTTTTGTTACACTTATTTACAAATAATTATAATAAATTTTCTTTTTTTTATAATTTTTTATAAACTTTTAATTTCAACACTTTTAAAAATGAATTTTCGAGACGTGTTATATGACTTTTTCTAAAATGTATTTTCAATATGTGTTATGATTTTTTAAAAATAGATTTTCAAAAATTATAAAATTTATGAGTTGAGTATTTCAATAATTTCACTTGTAAAAAATTTAAAAAACATATAAAATATATAAAACAAAAATATGGGTGCATTTAGAATTCTCATTTTTTTCAATCAAACATGATATCTTTGATGTTAGAATATATGTTTAGGTTGACAAAAAATCAAAACAATACACGATTTGATAATTGAAGTCCAATATAAAACTTTTTGAAATTGTGATCAAAATTATATTTGATTCAAAATCAGGAACTATTCGTGTTATTGGCTTACACATTAATTTTACTGTGTTTTATATTAAAACATAAAATTTTCACTATTAAATGAATAACAAATGAAAAGTAGACTAAATCTCAATTTAGATCTAAAATTTAAATTAATTTTTAATTAAAGATATAACATTTAATTTGATTCAAATCAAGATTAAATGTTTTCAAAATTACTCAAATATAAACTTTTTAATATAAATAATACACACAGTTAACTTTTTAATTAGATTTCTTTAAAGGTTAGGTTACTCATTTAAATTCAAAAAATCGTCCAAAATTTGATAAAACTTAAATATAATTTTAAATCTAATAAAATAAATATAAGTTTGAATTTAAATTTATTTAAAAAATGAGCCAAACTTTAGATATGACATTTAAGGTTTAAGTCTGACTCAAATAATATCACATGCAATGTGTAATTTATTTTTCATTACATTTTATTTTTATTCGAGTAAATTTAAAAATGTTTCATCTTAATTTGAATTAAATTAAATATTATATATTTAATTAAAAATTAATCAAATATTAAATTCTAAATTAAACTTTTAGCCTAAAATTTTCTATTCTTAAACCAATATTATTTAATCATTAAAATACAAAAAACCCAAATTTTTTCATTTATTGTGTGAAATTTTAGAAGAGCATTGATATGATTACAGATGGGTGATATAAGCCATTCCCCTCCAAACTAACCAACCATGTGGCAAAGCCCAAAACGGACCCAAGACTCTTCGATAAAACATCCCCCTCTATAACGCCACCATTACCTAAGACTCTTCACTTTCTGTACCCTCTATCTCTAGCCGATCAACAACTAAAGAAGAAGAAGTGAAAATGACGGAGTCAGTGATAAGGAATAAGCCAGGAATGGCAAGTGTGAAGGACATGCCGGTCCTCCAAGATGGGCCTCCTCCGGGTGGGTTCGCCCCTGTCCGATACGCCCGTCGGATACCCAACAAGGGGCCAAGTGCTATGGCTATCTTTCTAGCTGCTTTTGGTGCCTTCTCTTATGGGATGTACCAGGTCGGCCAAGGCAACAAGATCCGCAGGTCCTTGCTTTTATTCTCTGGAAAAACCCTTAAATTTATCTTCTTTTCTTGATTTTCTAATCTGGGTTTTGTTCATTTTTTTTAATTTACGCTGATATATATATTTTTGGTTATTTAAGCTGCTTTTTGATTGGGTTTTATTGGGTGTTGCTTGAAATTATTGTTATGACCTCTAATTATGATAATTTTGGTTGCTTTTATCTCTTTTATTAAAAAGCTTTTGGTGGAATTGAAGCCATTTTAGCCTTTCATGGAACTTAGGGTCACACATCTTGTTCTGTTGGGTCTTTGTCTGTGGTTGTTTTTTGGAATTTAAAGATAGATTTTTTTAAAAAATTTATTGTTGGAATTTGGGTTTTGATTTTTTTTTTCAAATTAGCGTTGGAAATGTGGAGGATTCTATTGATTATTAGTATCATATTTTGTGCCCTTTGAGGGTCTTGTTGGCAAACAACATGAAAAGAAAATGAGCGTAGCTGAGATGAAAATGCTTAGATGGATGTGTAGTAAGACTAAAAGAGACAAAGTCAGAAATGAAGATATTTGAGGAAAATTAGGGGTAATCTGAATTGAGGAAAAGATGAGAGAGGGTTGCTTGAGATGGTCTAGCTGTGTAGTAGTTAGGAGATGTGAGCTTCTAGATTTTGGAGAGAGCAAAACTTCTAGAGGTAGACCACGAAAGACGTGGATGCAAATAATAAAAAATGATATGAGGGTCAAGGAAGTAAATGAAAAGGTTGTTGTGTATAGAAATGAGTGGTGCAAGAAGATTCAAACCCATGACTAACATGATTCTTTTTTGGCCTTTCATGCAACTGACTTCAGAGTCGTGGGATGTAAGGCTTTGTAAGTTGTTGTTGTTGTTGTTGTTGAGGGTCTTGCTGGCACAAGACTTCTAGATGTTTTTTAATCTAGTAACTAGTAGAGGAACAGAGGGTATTGGGGGGTTATTAGCTGTAATTATTTCATTTTCAGTGCTTTTGTTAAAGGATTTTCTTGTTTTTATTTACACCAGTGATGGATGGAATAGGATTTAGTTGGTTTGGGGAGTGAACTGATGATTGGGGACAATTGTTTGGATTAGCATTCTCTTAATTTGGTGTCATTATCTATGATCTGGAGTAGTATCCTATTGGTTTTTGTTCGATTAAACAGCTGTTTTGGGTCTGGATTATTATGATTGTGGAATGATGTCAGTGTTCACTTTTGATTATTTTATGTACAATGTTGTGATGCTCAGGATTGCTGGTTCTTTCAAATGGCTTTTTGTATGTAAACTAGGAAGAAGTTGATAGGAGGAAAAAGAAAGACAAAGTTGAGATACTTTGCTGGCAGTGCTATTATTTGGCCTTGACATATAGACAATGCATAATAATTTCATGAACCTGCCTGTGTGCTGTTTTTTGTTGTTTCAAGAGCCTGCCTATATGTTGATCTTAGTAACTCGTTGGCCTTTCACGGGGAAAACAAGTAGTTAGTTTGTCAAGTAGGTATCTTTCATTTATCCATACATTTTGTTGCAAGGATTGTAGACATATATCGAAACTAGCATGTGCATTTAATATAGAGGAGATTACATTTGAAATGGTCTTGTTTTGTGGGTTGATGATGATTTATTGATCTTCTAATTGTCGGTTTCCTGGTAAATGAGTGTGAATGCATGGGTGGTTATTCAAATGGTTGTTTGTTGATCCTAATGCTTTTTTTTTTTGCCAAGTGTTGATTCTGATGCTTACTCAATTGTTCTATGAAGGATTCATATGCTGATTTATTGGTTCTTAAAACCGCTTTAATCCACATTATATGTTGTATTGAACATATACATTTTAAGGTGATTTTCCAACTGCATTAGTGCAGGTATGGATATTGATAATATCAGGCACTAAATAAATTGTATAATTGATCTCAAAGCTATATATTTGGTGGGTTTATGTATGTTCTTGGCTTTTGACCATCTTAGACTCACTAGGAAGTAAGGCTTCTAGCTTGTAGCATGAACTATCTGTCTTTTCCTGTTTATGTTAGAGGGTTAAATTGTGAAGCTTAATGCAATTAGCCATAAGGTGCCATATCTTATCCAACTGAGGCACTTAGCTTCTCTAATGGGTGGTAGGCCAGATGGTTTATGTATTCCAATAAGGTAGCCATGCAATGCTTTATCTTTGGTGTATTGAGATTCTCCAACTGCATTAGTGCAGGAATGGATATTGATAATATCAGGCACTAAATAAATTGTATAATTGATCTCAAAGCTGTATATTTGGTGGGTTTATGTATGTTCTTAGCTTTTGACCATCTTAGACTCACTAGGAAGTAAGGCTTCTAGCTTGTAGCATGAACTATCTGTCTTTTCCTGTTTATGTTAGAGGGTTAAATTGTGAAGCTTAATGCAATTAGCCATAAGGTGCCATATCTTATCCAACTGAGGCACTTAGCTTCTCTAATGGGTGGTAGGCCAGATGGTTTATGTATTCTAATAAGGTATTCATGCAATGCTTTATCTTTGGTGTATTGAGATTTTCGAGATTCTCTCTGCATCATTAATTTAATTGATCTTTGTGATCAAGAGACATAAATGAAGTAGCATGCAAAAAATAAATAAATAAATAAAATGGAATAAGCTCAGGTCTCTTCTGTTTTGATGATATGCTTTAGATTCCCTGGTCTTGATTTATTTGATTAAGATAAATAGTTAAACTATCATAACATGAGATAAATGAAGGTACAGATAAAAGTCGATGGTTAAAGCTGCATTAAGTTTGGTGTTATCATCAGTTGGTTGCATTGCATCTTTTGCACTTACCAAGCAAAGCCTATTGGCTATTGTCAGTGGTAAGTTGGTAGTCCAAAAGGAGGCAAATTCTATGTACTTGGTCCGAGTTTTGGCTGACAGGAGTAGGGCAGTCTTATCTCATTCTCCCCTAAAGAAATTGATTGCTTTTCTCTTCATTTAGAATATTCTTTTCTGAAATGCATGTTTCAAATCTAAATAAATAGATTGAAAGTTGTGTTCATTGATTTTTTTATTTCGGATATCCCATATTACTGACGCGGCTTTATTTCCATATCTTTTCCATGATTTAGTTTCTATTATGGAAAACTAAATTGAATACATATGCCAAATTCCACTGAAATATATGCATTTTGTAGGGCACTCAAGGAAGAAAAGTTTGCTGCACGCAGAGCAATATTGCCAGTGCTTCAAGCTGAAGAAGATGAAAGGTATTTAACCATTCAGACTACTTTACCGATTTCCGTAGCTAAAGTGTATTGAGAGTATTTCCATGTTTGCTTGCTTTCATTCTTTAGATTTGTCAAAGAGTGGAAGAAGTATCTTGAGTATGAGGCCGAAGTGATGAAGGATGTGCCAGGTTGGAAAGTAGGCGAAAACGTATACAATTCTGGGAAATGGATGCCCCCTGCAACTGGCGAGCTCCGTCCGGAAGTTTGGTGAAACCTTTTGTCGACTCTTTGTCCAGATTTGGTCTGTTTCTTTTCATGCAAACTTTTTATGTTGCTTGGTCTTGTTCACAGTAAGGGAAATAAAAAATTTGAATAGAAACCAATTTAATATTGAGAGTATTGCCGGATATATTGCCGGATATGATCATTATTTCTTTACCTTGTACCTCATTTTAGCTGAAGTAATTTCATGGAAATGTTAGTGGGAAGGGAAGGCTACCAGTTGCCATTGCCAGCCAAACTAGTATGTCAATTAGTATATTTGTATCCTGTTGATGTCAACTGGTAACTCAGAATGCACACAAAGCTGTGAATAATAGTACCTTTCAAATACATATAGTAACCATGAAAGTCAGTTGCCTTAAGCTATGGAATAACGAAATGGTCATCACCCAAATGCATGATAACAGGATTATCAGTCTTAAAGCTACCCTCAAGCAGTAGCTTAAAAAAAACCGACGTATAAAACTAACAGAACCAACATAACACCAGACCCCAAATCACAAGGGCTGGAGCCCAAATTTTTAACAAAAATGAATAAATTTTACAACCCCACAGGTACAAAAACAAAACCCCAATTCAGAAACACCAAAACTTGGCTGGTGGAAATGGAACAAAACCTTGGAGCTCCAGAGCCTATCAATGGAAGCAACACAGTGCCAAAGCAGGTGAAACAAGGGGAGATGGTGCCAAGCTGCGTGCGTCAAGGTTGCCTAGTACCATCACCATTATGTCCCTACCAAAAACCTCCGGTGGGTCCCTTGCGAGAATCTCCTTTCTCCTCCCTCTTCACCCACACCTCTCCAAAGCATTTCTTCAGTCTCCATACAAAAAACTTAAAGCTTTGTGCGGAGGTTTTGTTTTTGCTGAGAGATTTGAAGAACGGTGAGAGAAAGGAAAAGAAAAAAAACATGAGAAACATGCAATGTTCGTGCAACCAGGGGTGACTATATCAGTTAGACTTGAATATGGGCACAGACGTCGTCGGAGGTTGACACGTGGAATTAAATTGACAGTTTAAACTGGTTATAAAAAATATCCTGAAGCGTTCAAAGTAAAGTAAAGCAATTTCGAGGAAAATTTCAAGTGAAGATAATAATGAAGTAAAAACGAACAAAAAATGAGAAAAAACTGTCGGATTTGGTGGCCAAAGCAGCTCTCTTCGACCAAACCATCTTTGTATAATCTTCTGTTCGGCTGGTTCGTGCCTTGTTCTTCGGATTCTCTTGACATTGTCGTCGCTTTCGCTTCGAATCGCGAGTCTTCTTCATATCTGCAATCTCGTCTCCTGGTAAAGCAGTAATTTTGATTTCATTTTTTAAAAAATATTTTAGGAATTATAATTGGTTAGGGAAAAAGGGTACTTAGAAATCAAAGAAAGAAAATTGCTTGTTCTGTTTTTGAAGCTATTTCTTGCCGAGCTTGTAATGTTCCATGTAAAGCACTTATTTTTCCATTAATTTTTTCTTTAAATTTTTTTTTTTTATGAATTATAATTGCTTAGGGAAAAAAAGGGTACTTTGAAAGTAAAGAAATAAAATTGCTTCTTCTGTTTTGAACTGTTATCTTGCTGAGCTTGTTATAATACTGTCTCTGGCTTTGGTATTTGGAAATGGTTTTAATTTGGGACTAGACCTGGTAATCTCAAACATGAAACGGTGATACCGTACGAATACAATACGAAAAATAAGCACAAAAGTGACATGGTTTAAAATTTTAGCAATAACCATACATAAGTTTAACAAAACAAAAAAAAAAATGTATTTCATGTTTTTGTGTTAACATGAATTGTGACATGCAATTTTTGTATAAAATACAGTACAAATACGTGGATTTTAATATTTTACATGAAACCGATACACGAATTGCCAAATTTATTTGGGACTTCTTTTGACAATGTTGGATTTTTTTTTTTTGGGTGAGTGTAAACAGGAGATCCTCCATTCTACCAATGGTAATATGCATGTATCTCTCCAAGATAAATCCAAGTTCTCTTTGTTGGGTCAGTGTAGAGCTTGTCTCAGCAATGGTCAAGTGTTTTATGAAGGAGTAGAAGAGGATGATCTGAGAAAGTCTGGCACTTACAGTGTTGATGGAATTACTGAATGCTGCAGACAGTGGAGCTCTGGATGCTGTAATCTTGATGGGTTATTAGAACAATGCAGACAGACATGTATAGAAAGTGATTACTGGATCGAGCTGACATATGATTCTTTTCATCTTCCTGCCTGGGGAGTTTGTTGGATTCCTAAATTGCATCATATTCATTGGAACGGGGAACTAGTGTCTCACTGTGATATCCACGTATGTAAGTCAGATTGCTTGTACTGTTTGGATTGTCTTTAAGTTGTATTTCTTAATCGTCGTTAATCCATGTTGCTTTGTCTCAACAAATTTAGGTGATATTCTATGAAACTCCAACATATGGTGCACATCATTTCTCATTGAGATTCTGGAATTCTTCTGTGCTTGGGAAAACTTCTCTTAAGGAGCCTCAGTGGGTTGATGAACTTCAACAAAAGCAGCCTTTAAATGACTTGGTAAAATAGTTAAGTACCTTTTGGTGGAATAAGGACAGTTTCTTTTCTTTTCTTTTTTTAATTTAAAAATTTTTTTAAGCAGGATACAGTGATTTTGGCAATCAACAGTGCCACTGCCGCTAAGAAAGTTTTTGAGAGAAATGATGGCTTCAAGAGATCCTCTCCTAATGGTCCCATTATTTGGATGTAAACTCACCCTAACTTTCATTTGCTGCTTGCATTTGCCATGTCTGTCTGCATTTTCTGATGTACCATTATGTGGCTTTGCAGGTTTTGTACCTTCATGTGGCATATATTGGCAATGTCAATGGCATCGTTATCTACTCTTTTTTATATTTTTATTCAGTTTTCCCATAGCTTTTTGAATTTTGGATCTCAATCATGGGTATACTCTGCATCAGCAAAGGCATTTAGCAATACCTGGGTAAATGTTCAAATTCGTTGTTGTCAGGTCTTATATTGGCCAGTCTTTCTTCAGGACAATGACCTCAGGTGGCAAGTCTGTAGAGTATATGTGAATTCATTTATTGATATATATCAAGTTCTCAGTCCATATTGAGCTGAGGCATGCTTTTCTATATGAAGTTTCAGAATAGTACTCATTATGCCTCCCTTTTATTATCCTGATATATAATAATGCTTTTGTTAGGTCTCAATCAAGTGTAGATTGTGCAGAAAAAGTTGCATTACTTAAGCATTCCATGTGGTCAAGTTTGGTTGTTGATATCATTATGGGAGACTTTATTGGTTTGGCACTCTTATTGCACACGGAATCTGTCTGTTCATGGGTTTCAAATTTTGCCAGTGACTCTACAAATGAGCTGATGAGGTCGGGTTGTGTGTGGTTGATGGGTGTCCCAGCAGGTTTCAAGTTGAACACAGAATTGGCTGGAGTTCTTGGCATGATTTCTCTGAATATGATTCAAATTTGGTCTACCCTTTGGATTTTTGTGGGTACTTTTTTCATTTATTTCATCAAAGGACTTGCTATATTGGCAATTCTTTTCGGGTTGACAATACCTTCTGCTTTGGTCATAGACATGATTGCAATAGCGACATTGCATGTGTCAACACTTCATTGGTTAATCTCTATTCTCTATTCACAGCAGTTACATGTGCTCGCAGCTTTGTGGCGTCTTTTCAGGTAGCACTTCAGTATTTCTCATTTAGGATTTAATTGGCTCCTCTAATTCAGTCATTCCTATTATAAGCTAAAATCATTTTGATTTTGTTGTGTATAATATGAATATAGTAGTCACATCTGTGTCCTAATGGGTTATTGCTATCATATAGTAGAACCAGTTAGGAGGCAGGTTTGAGTCTTTTTCATAGAAGTTGTATTAATCTGATCTTGAATGACTTTGAGACCTGCTGAAGGCAGGTTTTTGTACATAGTGGTGCAACAAAAATTCAGAAAGTAAAACATAGTTATAGATCATTGCAGGCCTGATAAAAATTGATCTCTGCATCTAATAGAGCTGAAATATGACTGTCATATTGATATCATGGATCCTATTTCTGAGAGTTGGGGGGGGGGGGGGGGGGAAGAGTTCATGAAAGGATGTCTTTTCAAGTTCTGGAAGAACATACCATACCCAACTTTATTCCATCTTAATCAAAGTGTCCAGAATCCTGTTAGTGTAAATTTCTCTGCTTGGAGTTTCTTTATTATATACCCTGCTAATTTCATTATCCTTTTTTTGTTATGCATCTTTTATTGTCCACAACAGCTTTAGCTGATAACATTTGAAAGGCATACAAAATTATCCATTTTATTAGAAGTAAACTCTGTCATATCAGATCTCAATAAATTTATTTAATTGTTTCAAGCTGTACTAAGAGCTGCTGTACTGTTGTTAGGGGACGAAAGTGGAATCCTCTTCGTCAAAGATTAGATAGTTTTGACTACACCGTGAAGCAACATGTTGTTGGATCTCTTCTATTTACACCACTTTTGCTTCTATTGCCAACAACCTCAGTTTTCTATATTTTCTTCACCATTCTGAACACAGCCATCGGCCTTAGCTGTATGTTTATCGAAGTCATCATATCTGTCATACATGCTACTCCTTATATTAAAATTGTCCTTCGGTTGATAAAACCTAGAAGATTTCCATCGGGGATATGGTTTGAAATCATAGCCTGCCACAATAACAGCAGTGATTCTCCATGGAGTGCTTTTATTGATAAAAACAGTTTGCCATTTGAAGAAGCGCCAGAAAGAGTGGATATGAATAGAATGATATCTAGCAGTTTGATTTCAATTCTCCACAGCAATTATTTGAGCATAGGTGAGCCCTTAATCAGTTATTCTCAGAAAGTCTTGATTTTCATTAGATATTCTAGGCCACCATGGATGATTCTTAACAAATTCTTAGTATGCACCATTTGCTAAAACAATAAGGGGCCTAATACATGAGAATGGCTTATTTCTCCAAACAAAGTTGTGGAGGAAGAAAGGAAATGCAATAAGATAAATCTTTTAAGTTCTCTTTTCCTTCACTTTTCATCTGCTAACTGAATATAAGCAGCTAATATTCTTCCTCTTCCTTCTAATTTTAGTGTGTTTTTTTTTTTTTTTTTTTTTTTTTTTTTTTTTTAATTCTTTGTTTGCTTGGCGTTTCATTGGAATGTATAGTGCTAATCATGATGGAAAATTCTTATAGGACAAATGGTCTTGCCTCATTACAGAAAAGCTTTTTCGGGAGTCTCTCGATCACACTTTGCCACATCAGTTTTTGGACTTCTTAGTGGTAAAAAGTAAGTTGATCTAACATATTTGTGCATTCTCATTGTTCTGGACTTTCACATTGCATTTTAAACTTTAGTTGTCTTTCCAGAGTTGCATCTACTTTAGGAGCCACACTGCCCTCAACAATGCCATGGTTATTTATCCCATACAAAGAATATTGGTGCCTCTGTCGAAATTCGATTCTTGCATGTATGGTAGACTGCAACTAGGATAGATGTCATGATTCAAGAACCCTTCATTTAACTTGGGTGTTCGGATTTTGTACCTGTCACAAGCTGCTGCTGCTTCTTTTTGGTTTGGTTCAAACCTAGGCATTAGAGTTAACAAACAGATTTCTCCAAGTTGATGGAGGTAGTGACAAAGGAGATCAAGAGAAAAAAAATGAAACCCGGAAATTTATTTCGGTTATCCATTTATTAGAATAATTTGTATTTTATTAGTGATTGCGTATAGTAATTATATAGTTATATTTCTAGTTTGGTTTTGGACATAACGTTTTTGTTTACTATATGCATTGTTTCTCCATTTTTTGGTTGAAAAGTAGAGCATGACAGTAAAAAGTGACCAGTGAGCTATATTTTGTGAGCTATAGGTTGTAAATAAGTGGTTATATTTGCACTCTCAATAACTTCAGACTTGCATTTGATGAAAGATTCATCTTAATTCACATCCTCCCTATATTCTGATGGTTCGAGTTTTTACTACCATGATGCATTGTTTTATAGACCACTGGTTAAAAATGTTGAAAGATCAAAATTGAAATGGATTTTTCAATTGATCATGTCCAAAATGCTTGATATCAAAGCCAAATATCATTTGAACCTAAACTTGGACAATTTAAAATACAATATGGTAACATGAAATGATATGAATTAGATATGAAAATAAAATACAAAAATGAAATGATTTAAAATTTTAACATGAATTTAATAAAATTAAAAAATATATTTAATATTTGTGTCAACACGATATAATTTTTATATAAAATATGATATAAATATATAAATTTTAATATTTTATATAATAAAAATATACAAATTATTAGATCTTAATCGAATTTAGTTCAAAGGTGGATTCTCACAAATCTGAAGATCGATTTATGACGCTTTTAATTTTCCTTTTTACTCCAATTACAGTACTTGGGAAAAAAAAAAAACAAACAAGCACCATATGCAGAGTATATCAGATCAATGTGAAAACGTTGTGTTGGATCAATGCACAACGGATTTATTTGGAAGGCAGCATGCAGAAAACCTGCAAGATGAATGTCACTCAGTGCATTAACAGCTGAATCACAATTACATTTAATCTCAAATTATTGACAATGAAGAATAATAAAATGTGTAAATGAAGTCCTGAGAGAAAAGCTTAATGGAAAGCTGAAGATGTTTTGGCTGCCCTTGCAACAAGTTTATTATTCGGTATACAAAATTTGAAGCCAATTTCGCACATCAAGGATCGACATAAGAAGGAACAGGAAGAAAGGGAAATGGAGCAATAGATGCATATGCTACAGGTGAGCGTGCTTGTGGACCAGCAGTCAAATGCCTCACTTTCTTCTTCTGATAATCTTCTCCACTTTCAGTTAGATCTTGTGAGGTAGATGAAAGCTCAACAATCCTGTCAGGATTATCCGCAAGGCATCGCTGATTATCGGAGAGACGATGAAATAGGAGCCCAGACATAAATACAGGAAGATACAAAAGGCTAGCATAAAACATCCTTCTTGCTTTTTGAGTGGTCCGATCGCGGTAAAATGATAATGCTGCAGCACTTATTGCTAGGGTGATAAGCGTTGATTCAACACAAAACCACCCAGTAGCCACACCCCCTGCAGAAAGAATTTCACTAGCTTATATGATGAAACAAAAATGAAAATGTGAGACAAATTATAGTCCATCCGGACCTGGTAATTTGTATGTCTGTATTTTGTTCATGTAGTGTTAAATATATGTAAAATACGAAAAATTATCATGTCAAATTCGTGTGACATGTTAAATATAAAACACATTTTTTTAAATTACCAGGTACCCATATACTATAGTACTAATTGAGATAGGTCAAACAGAAACTATTCAGAATTCATATTCAGGTTATAAATTTTTGGAGAATACCCAATGTTTTCAAATCATGTGCCAATATATGGTACTAGTCCTGTACAGTGAAATTTTAATAAATATAAATGAGGACTAATGGAAAAGGAAGCCTAGTATGATAGTTTTCATGTTTGGAATAAGGTAACTTACAGTCATAGGCTATGAACCCTAAAGGAATGAGATACAGGCAGTTCCTGAAAGCCACGGCAGCCGTTCGTTGACCTGAAGGATCTGCAAGGGAGAACATCCTGTACCTGAAAAAATAAAAAATCATAGAAAATGAAGTCAATAGAGCAAGATCGTGTGACATGCATTAACAACTGACCAATTCACACGCAAAGGGTGCTGAAATGCCTCATATTATCCATGAAAGAATCATCCTAATGATATCTTATGAAAATGTAAACTAAATACATTTCTTAATTCAGAAAAGGTAAAAATTTCAACTTTCCAGGTTATATTACGGAATTTACGTAAAGATCATGTCTCCAAGCCAAAGCTTAGGTTTCAAAACAAGATTACATAGAAAGGGCTGAAACAGAAAAGTCCAATTTTATGTGCAGAAAGAAATATAAAAAGTTGCTCAGCTGAAACAAGTTCTGAAAATGCTTATTGCTAAAACATGTACATACCCTCCTGCAGCATAGTCATCGCGGCACAAGTATGCTAGGGCCATAAAATGGGGTATTTGCCAAAAGTAGAGAGCTGCTGGAAGAATTAATCCATTGAGGGAAATCTCACCAGAAGCAGCAACAGACCTAAGAATTCAGATCAGAAAATAATAAGCCTGTGTATAAGTGGTTAAATTAAATTTAAAATAAAACTTAAAACCAACTTAAGGCAAGGCCTATCTTTTTTCCTTCAAATAAAAAGACCTCTATATTTTCAGCAAAAGGTTTTAGGCGTTTCTATACCCTCTCAACATATGCTACTTATATTTATTAACTCTCCAACAGAGATTCCATATACATCTGTCAACACAATATGAGGATCTTTTGTTCTTTTTTCCCTTAATTTCAAGGGAGGGTTTATTTTTCCCTGTTTTATAAGTCATAAGAGGACCTGTTCATAAGCAATAAACAAAAATAAGAATTCCATCAAAGTCCGGAGACCATAGAAAGAGAATAATTCTTCTGCAAATAAACAAAAATATTGGAATGTGTTTTCCATCACCCATGTCAACTAAGGGAAATTTTCATATGAAAAAAGTTAAAACAAAAGCAGAAGCACTAGTTGAAAATAATACAACAAATTGATAGAAAAATCAGCTGAGTTGGTAACACAAGATGGGGTATCACATATATGTTAGGAAAGCTTATCAAGAAACTAGAACCATGTACACAGTAATTTCCTAGTTTGGCCCATAGAAGTTTATAGAAAGTTCTTATCTATTACCAGCCTAGATCATCAAAGACTTTATGAAGCCCTCTCTAAGGCAACAGGATTTAGCATAAGCCCCATTAGAAGCTAGCAAAGAGGCAGGTAACATCTTCCATGTCCTCACCAAAACTTCTCAAAATAAAGCTGCACTCTAATGGGGTTCCAGCAACCGGACAGTATATTCAGCTATTTCAAAATTTATTCATCATGACATCAGAAGCCAAAAAGTTGGCTGAAACCTATTGTTTTCAATTAGAAAACAAGGGAAAAAAGGGCATATCAAAATCCAACTTCATCGTGCTAATCTTATCACTTCACTCACACCAAGCTAAGAACTTGCAGAGACAATATTTTCTGCACCAAAAAGTTGTCCCTCTTTCTTTATCCTTATGGTTACAGCAAAACTTAAAATTCAAAAACCTAAGCTCACTGAACCTACTAAGCAGTCAAAACATGCCATCAACATCAACTTATCATTCCAGTCTTTTAATCACAACGATCAAATGATATTAGGCAACATATATCCGGAGCTCCAAACTAAGTAGCCAAAACATGGCGTCAACATAAGCTTATTAAATGTCTTTTGATTACAAAGATCAAATAATATAGACAATATATGGATGGGGTTCAGTAATGGACATTTTACTTCCAAGCTTTTTGTATGGCACATGCAAGTATTAACAGGCATGGAAAAACTTGACACGGTTAAATACTATACCAACCATAAGAATATAAACTAAAATTTCCTTAAGAGACAGTCATAAACAGAAAAAAAAAATTTAAAGACAAAATTACCCTAAAAGAGGAGGAATGGCACCAACAACAGCCCCAACCCATGTATTTACAGGATGAATCTGCTTCAATGGAGTATACACAAATGCATAAAGAACAAGATTGGAGGCTGCAAGCCCAGCTGCCAACATATTAGCCTGCGATAACCTTGGAGCAGTAGCAACATTAGTCACTCAACTGACAACATTTTAAGTGTTTGGTGAAGATAAAAGAATTACATTTTTAAATTAAACAAATACAGAAAAGTGAGTAAATTCATCTGGCCACCTTGAATGCCAACAGAGCAGTGCCAGAAAACCCAACAGAAGATGCCCAGGTGACTGCATGTGGTACTGTGATGCGTCCCGAGGGTAGAGGTCTTTGCCTTGTTCTCTTCATTTTGGCATCATTATTTATCTCAAACACCTAGGGACATGAATACCTTTGGTTAACCCAAATCTCAGTCAATCTAGTCAATTCATGAAAAGTAACTTAAAATACAACCACCATGCAGGATTACATGCTTGCAAAATCAACCAACTCAAAGATAATAAAAACATGGTCGTCAAGAAAAGAAGGTAATAGAAAATTAGAATTTGCAAGTCAAGAATTCAATTCTTAGAATTTCAATGAATTTATCTTGTTTCTTTCCCTATCCTTTTGTCAGGTTATTTATCTATCTGTTATATCAGGAAAGCTATGTCGATGAATTTAAATCATGCCCAATGAGCTATAATCTCCATCTTCCTTGATTATAGTGCAAGACAACTCATTGGGCTTTGAATTCAAGCCACTGACACAACATCCCTATCTAAGATTTATAGATAAATAACCTAAAAAGTCAGGTATACCCTCAGACTAATCGTTTAAAACTAATAACAAGAAAGGGGCAGGGGTGAGAGAGAGCCTTGATAATTTAATTCATAAAAATTCAATATACAATGTCCTCAAAAGCACAAAGGGGCACTAGGATCCTAATATTAGCAAGGGTGCAGCGTTTTAGGGTCAGGCTTTTCTTATTTCTTTATTATCCATACTTCCAATTAACCAAGAGGTAACATTGTTTATATGCAACTTTTTATTGAAGATAGAGCTATTAAGATGCTTGCAAATATAAATAGTCATTCGCAGATATCTATTCAATAACGAAACTATTTTGTTAACTGCACGTTTCAATCTGATCAATAAAAACTTAATTTAGGTTTCTCAATGCTATAATTGAGCTTAACAAGGTGTTCAAAGAAAGCAATCAAAAACAGAAAAGAACGAGAAAGGCAACCTGATTCAATGAATTCGCAGAAGCAGCAACCATCATGGTTCCAGCACAGGTACAACAAAGCCCCGCCAAATCTACGGCGTTTCCACTCCCTAATACATATCCAGTCCCCGAAGTTGCCACCACCAGCAAACTAGTAAACGAACCAAAAAAGTCAAAATTCAAAAACAAAAACCAAAACTTCAAAGATTTGCCTAAAAATCTCAGTGAAATTTGACCTGAGACGAGCCTTGGAGAGCTCCCAATAGCATCGACCGTAATGACGAGCGAGCTGGATTGCATCTCTAGCTTTGGAACTTAAAGGTCGAAACGCTTCGGATTTGTCGGCGAGAAACCATAGCTTTATAACGGAGCCCGACGAGGGAGAAGGTGAAGGCGCCGACGATGAGAAGCAGAAGCGTTGATAAGAAGGAGAAAGTGGCGGTTCTACGACGCCGTTTAGAGCGAAAACGGAAAAAGCGAAGCCGTGATGAAAGTAATTAGGATTGGTGGAGAACGAAGAGGAGAGAAGCCTCGAAGAGAAGCTCAAAGTAGCGGAGAATCGCCACATGGCTTTTAAGAGATCTTTTGAAGCGAAACTTTGGCAGAGATTTTGGATTTTTGGGAGTTAATTATTTTATTTTATTTTTTTGGTGTCGACTGTCGAGAGGCGTTGCCAGAACACAAGTCTAGAAGTCGAAGAACTTTCTTCAGGAAAGATCTCCACTCCTGTAGCCAAAACCCAATAGCAGCCGAAGAAAGCAACCCAGCCCACGTACGAAATCCATATGAAAAATGTAAATTAGGAAAGGCCCACTTCGAATTTTGTTATTTTTGTGATTTATTGATTTTAATTAATAAATCACGAATATTATTTATAATTATTTGTTAAATTTAATAAATAAAAAAATTAAGATTTTCATAAATTTTTTATCAAACTTTTTTTTTTTGTTTCGATGTTATAAATGAAAAAACGTTAATAAATGATCTATTCATTTAAGAGAAATTATCAAATATATTGATAATAAAATTTTTTAATTTCATAAATTAGATTAAAATGATATCACATATCTTTTAATTTATAAATGATATGATTATAAAAAATAAAAAATCATGAAAAATGATAACATGGTATTTTAACTCAAAAAATATCACAAATTGTTATATTTTCAAATTGTGATCACTAAGTGTTTGAACAAAAAAATAAAATAAAAGAACAATTGAAAGAAAAGAAAATCTTAAATGAAAAAGAAAAACAAACAAACAAAAAAAAGCCCTAAAGAATGGACTACTATAACCAAGGTTACCAACTAAACTTGGTTGGGTAAGTATAATAGTATGAGGCAAAGTGTTTTACAAAGAAAAGAGTGATAGACTCCACATGAACTACTATGATCAAGTTTAATCTCTGATATAAAATGTTTTAGTTGAAAGATAAAAAGATAGAAAAATTTTTTGATTTCATTTGGATGGGTACGAGATTAATTTTGATGAGATTAAAAATAAGTATAAAGATGAGATTAATTATTATAGTAATAAAAATAAAAATAATAATAAAAATATATATTTAGATGTAAAAATAACAATGTGATAAAGTAAAAATGAAAAATAATCATTAAGGACTTATAATTATAAGGGAAAAATGAAAAAAAAAAATCTGAAGGATAAAATTGAGAAAAAAAAAAGTGCGATGGGACTGCATAATTTTTACGAGAGCTTTTAGATTGTGCCTCAAAGATGGAATCCAAACGAAAAAACGGTGCGTTCGAAGTGAAAAAGTCAAGTAAATCTCACGTCACTTATAATTTGATGAGATCCAAATGAAGCCTTAATCTAATGCATAATTTGACCATAAAGATGAAATCATTATTCATGATTTCACCCTAATTTCCATACCCTGCCCAATGGAAACCAAGGCCTAAAACATTATTTCTACATGCTATTTCTATGAGAAAGATCAACCATATGAGTAAATATAATTATTCGAATATTTGTACATCGTAAAATATTAAAATTTATGTATTTATATTATAGTTTATATAAAAATTATATGTCACAATTTATATTAATATGAAAATATGAAATATATTTATTTATTTTATTAAACTCGTGTATAGTTATTATTAAAATTTTAAGTCATATCATTTTTATGTCATAATATTTTAGATTGCAAGATATAATTTATATGAGTTGTAGAGAAAAATACAAAACAATTGATTCAGATACAATGGTGTCATTTTGATGCAAGTAGCATCTCCCTGCGAACCGTGAAGAAATCAAACATCTGATCATAATCGGGAAGGTTTTCTTTGATTGTAGGAACTTGTTTGAAGTTTTTGATCCATGTTTGCAAACGAGGGAACTTACTAGCTTCAAGTAGCTTCAACCCTGTTACATCTTCAATGACTTGTAACCATTGGGCAAGTTGACCAAAAGCTAAATCCACCATGTCAATCTGGTCTCCCCCAAAAAATTTCTTCCCTCCAAAGGCATGTTCTTCAATGGTTTTTAGCATTTCCAAGCTGTCCTTAACCGCCTGCTCTTGTTCTTCACCGTTGGTCCAGAAAACCATCCAGATTGCTGGGCTCTGTAACAGTTAAATAGGTCTTTTACAACGTTGCAGGCATGTCGACATGAATTTGACAAGGTAATTTTTCATGTTTTGCACGTGTTTGATACAACATAAATATGATACAAACATAGGAATTGTCATGTTTATATATAATGGAGATTATCTAATGAAATTAAAAGCAAGAAAACAGGCTGCAAAACCATGTCTGAAAGCCAAAAGATTTACCTTGTCTTCGGCAAATTTAATCCAAAAACGAGCAATGGCTTTATCATATGGATCAGTTGGCAGCAAGGAATTTTGTGGCCAAACCTCTTCGATATATTCAAGAATAACCATAGACTCACAAATTGGCTTTCCACCATGAATGAGTACTGGTATTTTCTTGTGAACTGGATTATACAGGAGAAGCAGGGGACTTTTATTGGTTAGATCTTCTTCTATGAATTCATATGCTATTCCTTTCAATTTCAGGGCCCAAACGACCCTATAATAGAAAGGACTAGGCCATGTTGCAAGCAGCTTCACTTCAGCCATTACTCTGATTCTTCCTGGATGAGTGATCAATCAGAAAATCAGATTGTTGAGACATGGCACGCCTAAAAAGTCAATTTATAGTGTGATTATGGAGTTCTCCAAGTCAAACAGTCAGATTAAATATTTTCAAGCTTTTTTTTTTTTTTTTCTAAATCGGTGGTTGAATTGAAAGCAGGTTGTCTTTTTTGAAAACCCTCCATATATTTCATATATTATATAGTGGGAAGTTGGGAAATTATATAATAATTCCTGTCATTGAACTGGTCAATGGTCGAAGAAAATGAAGTGATTATATTATTTTGGTTAAATTTTATCATAGATCCTCGTACTTTTTTATTTTTATAAATTTAATCCTTATAGTATTATTTAAAAGAAATTAGTCTTTGTAATATTATTTTTAAGAAATTTAGTTTCTATAGGATTATTTTTTAAGGAATTTAACCCATGTATATTATTAACTATTGAACTGAAATCTTTCAAAAATAATATTATAAAAACTAAAATTTTTTAAATAATACTAGAGAGATTAAGTTTCTAAAAATTGAAAAGCACAGGGACTTATGGTAAAGTTTGACCTATTATTTTTTGCAGTAGGTGAACTCTACAATGCATGCTGCTTTGATCCTTATTATAACATTATTTACAAAATTGCAATAAAAAAATCCACCACAATTAGGATTTTAACTTGATTGCAAATCTTGTTTTTCATCGTATTTATGGTCAAATTTAGCCATTCTATTCAATTGCAACTCCAATATGATTGTCTCTGATTATATATTTTTTTCATAGTGAAGTGGAAAAAACTAATTTTAGTCTTGAATCAAATTCACTCCTAATCCTCAATAATTTTAGGATACAATGAAGCTTTGTTTGCTAAACTTGTAAAATCAAATCATTGATTAAACACCTTTAACGAGGAATGGAAAACATTTTTTTATACAAAGTTTTATGCACGAAACAATGTTGAAGAAACTTGCTTTTGATTTGAGAACGTGAGTGAAGAAAGAATAAGTTCTAATAATAAATTTTGTATATTTGGAATAATTTTTGAAATCTCTATTTATAGAGATTTGAATAAAGAGTTGTGATTTTTTAATTGTATTAATCGAATTGAATTTATTAATTTTTAAAATTAATTGATCGAACTTAATTCGATCGGTTCGATTAATTTTTTTGATTAATCAAATAATAAATATATTTAAATTAAATTATCTTTAAACTCTCAATTTCTCATATTTTAAATAATTTAAATAAAATTATCCAACAAAATATTCAAATTTCAAAGTATTACATTAAAAACTCTAACAATTTATGAAATAAAATAATCTATTTCATTATTTTTTATTTTATATTCTGATTTTTTTAATTTTTTTGTTAAAATTTCGGTTAATTCGATTAATTGAAAATCAAAATTTTCCTAAAATCATTTTCATTGGCCGATTAAAATTAATTCGATGATCAACCGATTAATTAAATTATATCAATTCGATCGATTAATTCAATTAAAATTGAATTATGAACACTCCTTGCTAACAATCTCGATTTAACTAAAATTCTACAAAACCATTTTTCTTTGTTTGTTTTCATTTGGGACTTTTAGCACTTCTTGGTCCTTTAATAGCTTGTCGTTTATCTAAAAAAAATTCTTTACTTGGGAGTCTTTGTTTAATCACTATCAAACTGCCTGGACAAGCAAGGCCTTTGACCACTCTGATTGATTTCTCAAAAATGGAAAAAGTGAAACTGCTTGGAATGTGGCTTAGTCCATATAGTTTCAGAGTCATTTGTGCTCTGAAACTGAAAGGCATAGCATAAGAATTCATAGAAGAAGATCTCTCCAATAAGAGCCCTTTGCTTCTCCAATCTAATCCGGTTCACAAGAAGATACCTGTGCTCATTCATGGTGGCAAAACAGTTCGTGAGTCCTCGGTTACTCTTGAATACATCGAAGAGATACGGCCCCAGAATTCCTTACTCCCAAGTGATCCATATGAGAGAGCCATCGCTCGGTTTTGGATCAAATTTGCTTATGATAAGGTACACAACAAAATACTGCCGGCATAAATATTATGTGTTACGATTTATATCATATTGATTTTTTTATCATTTTTATTACAAGTGTAAATGAATAGAGTTTTTCATAAATTATTTGTGAACATATTTGATATTTGTTTGTTTATGTTCATTTATTAAACTTAACGAACGATTTTGAATAATATTTTTATATTCGTTTATTAAACGAATTAAATACGAATAGAGATTCGTTTGATTTATTTATATTTATGAGCAAATTTGTTTAAAGTTCGTTTATTATTCGTTTGTTATTTGTTTATAATAATACTAATAAAATTATATTTTTATCATTTACTTTAATCTTATTTTAAGGTTTATTTATATTTATTTCGGTTCATTTATGTTCGTTTAAGATTTATTTGTTTAAATTTATTTAGTTATAGTTTATTTATTATTCATAAATTATTTATTTATATATGTTCGTAAACATATTTATTTAATGTTCACAAACAAATTCATTTAATTTAATTGAATCAAATACGAATAATCTATTATTTAAATGAATTGAATACAAATGAATAGAATAATTTTTTGAATGAATATGAATCGAATATGAATATATTTTTAAAAATAAATGAACAAATTATAGACATTTATTTATTTGTTTATGTTCACTTTATTTATAGCCTTAATTTTTGTATTATTTTATCGTAATATGTTTTAAATTATCAAGTTTAATTTAAATGATGGTGATATTTGATTCTAACAGGGTTCAATAGCATGGAAGATTTATGGAACTACAGAGAAGAGCGTAACAAAGTAATTGAGGAGACCTTGGAAACGTTAAGAACCATAAAAGAACATGCCCTTGGAGACAAGAAATTCTTCAGAGGAGACAAGATTAGCATGGTGGACATAGCCTTTGGAGGACTCGCCTACTGGCCAGGAGTCTTTGAAGAAGTACTTGGCATAAATCTAATCGAAGCCCACAAGCTTCCTCGCCTGCAAGCGTGGACCAAGAATTTCAAAGAAGTTCCAGAAATCAAAGAAAACTTCCCTGATCTTGGTCGCATGCTCAAGCGATTAACATAGATGTTCATCATCTGCTTGAACTTCATGAATTTATCTGCTGGAATTGTGTTTAAGCACACTAGTAGGGGAAATACTTGGATAAAATTATTTAAGTAAAGTTCATGAATTTCTCAATTAAAAATAATTAAATAAAAATTAAAATTAAAAATTTAAATGATAGATTGAAATATTCCGTTACATAAATTAAGCATGTAAAATTTGAAAAATTTTAATAAATTTTGATGTATATTTTTAAATAGATGTTTTAAAGTAAAACTGTTGATAAAATTTTTATCGATAAATAAATATAGATCAAATTTAAATTATAAATAATATTTTTAATAATTACATATTATTGATTTTCACATTAAACTTTATCAATCTATCGATTTAGAATTTTTATTAAAATTTTTATTAAATCATTTTTAAGAAAAAACTTTATCAATTTCACATAAATTTTATCCCACTAGTAGATGCATTTATTTTATTAGCTTCCCATTATCCATTTTTGCTTAATTAAGAAGAATCTAGTGAAAGTTTTTGTTGACTCTTGATAAAAAAACCAATTAATTAAGTTGCATCATGCATGACATAAACCAAATTCCAAGCATGTGATACAATTAAATGAACACACTGGAATCAACAACCTTGGACAAATCCATTGAAATTGATATGTACAGTTTATTCTTAAACAATTACTTCCTAGTTTCTTCACTTCAATTTTAATTGTTTATACATCAATTTAGTTTTTATCAATTTTATCATGGAATTCATCAAAAAAAGTTTGGATGCGCACAGGAAAAAATTTCTTTCAAAAATTTTTGGAGTTCACTATTTGGATTTATCACTGTAAGTATTGAAATTTAAATTCAGATATACTGATCAATACCACTTTTTAAAAATTATTATATGAATTAATTAAATTAAATTTTACGTTTAACTTTTTGATTTATTGGTTTACATATAAATGATATTGTAGTGTGCTATGTTCAAATCCTGTTAATTTTCATTCTTCTGTAACTCTGGTTAGCTAGGATTATTGTTTAGTAACATGCATATGTCTCTGGTTCTGACAGAGCCCTTCAATCTCAAAGACTTATCGAACCAGTGGCGAAGAGCAGGAGAAGGCAGTAAAGGACAGCTTGGGAAATGTTAGAAACCATTCAAGAACATGGTCTGCTTGAAGGGAAGAAATTCCTTGGGGGAGACAAAATGAGCAAGGTGGACATGGCATTTGGTGCAGTTGCTCACTGGCTGGTAACTATTGAAGAAATAGGAGGGCTAAAAATATTTGAACAACACAAGTTCCTTGAACTCATGAATCCAACATTTCAAGGAAGTTCCAATAATAAAAGAAAACTTCTTATTAATTTTGTTGATAGAATATTAATTTTCATATATAATCATAAGTCTGTAGATTAGATAAAAAACTATCTTATAACAATCATAAGTTTCATGATTTTTATCAGATTATCTAACTTTGATAAATGAAGAATCAAATAAAAATTCAGTTATCCAAATTGATAAATAAATATTATTTCTTTAAATGCTTTTGAATATTCAAAAGGAGACTGATAGGATGTCTCAGAATTCTCATGTAAATATATAGTAAAAACAATATCTGAGTCTCCAAAGTCAAGGTATTGCATTAGCTTGTTTTTTTTTTTGGACTGTAAATTAATCAAAACCACGAACCATTCAAAGGGCCTAAAACATTTAAAATATCAATCAGACGGTACTGATCAGTTCGTCAAAATTCCAACCATTACGCCAACATAACAACTTAAAATTTTATAATTGATGCTATACAGTTGCAACGAATAAAAAAGGCAAATTTGTGGAGTTTGATGCGACAAATACAATATAAAAATAATCAATAATTAAAAATATATAAAAATTAAAACAAATTAAAATTCATGTGAAAAGTTTTTCAATGTAAAACGAATAAATCACAGACTATTAAAAAAATTTACATTATTAAATAATTGATATATAAAATTTTTTTAAATTAAAATTAAAGTTAAATAATAATTAAAGAGATAATTCAAAATTTTTATTAAATAGATGATTCAATAAATATATTTTATATTTATTTTTAAAAATTTTCAAATTCGATTTTTACTATTCAAAAAATAAAACACTAAATTATGAATATATTGGTATAATTTTAATTCAAGGAGAACATGAATCAATTTTCATTCAATTTCTTGATTAAATTGATAGCTCTCTTTTCTTTTCTTTTTTTTTTTTTTTTCTTTTTCTGGTTTCTATTTTTCTCTCTGCGCTGCTCACACTTTTTCTCATAACAAGAATAAGGCTGAACCCTACATGATAACAAAATTAAATCAGGTAGAGCAGCCCAAAACCAAATCAAAATATTTGAAAAGAAACACAAGGATATTAAATTAATTTCTATGTTGAAACTTGTTGTCCAAGCATGAATACGAAATCAAAATATTTGGAAACAAATGCAAGGACATTAAATTAATCAATATTCAAACTTGTTATCCAAGCATGAATTTCCTTTTATATTGACTTTGGCCTAGCAACAGACTTTGCATCTTGAGCTCAAACAAAACAAAGCAATGGCAGAAGTGAAGCTACACGGATTCTGGTCTAGTCCCTTTAGTCAGAGAGTGATTTGGGCATTGAAAATCAAAGGTATAGACTATGAATACATAGAGGAAGACCTTTCTAACAAGAGTGAACTGCTGTTGAAGTACAATCCTGTTTACAAGAAGATCCCCGTCCTTGTCCATGGCGGCAACCCAATTGCCGAGTCCCTCATCATCCTTGAATACATCGAAGAAACCTGGCCTGAACATCCATTGCTGCCAACTGATCCTTATGAGAAAGCCATGGCTCGGTTTTGGATTCAATTTATAGTAGACAAGGTGAATTTGGCTCTTTTTATCTCCGTTCACCCATCATTTTTTTTATGTTACTGTTCATACTAATTTTGGTGATGATATTGACTCAAATGAGAAAAAAATATTAAAAAAAATTATGTAGTTTTACAAGATATATATTAAGCTTTGGAAGCGATTTAAAAGGTTTATAGCGTGAATATTGAATTGATTTGAACTTTTTATCTGTCACGTATTATGATTTTAGGGTTCGATTTTTCATGCATTTTTTCGATCAACCGGTAGAGTGGATCAAGAGAAAGCAGCAAAAGATTTTTTCGAAGTGCTGAAAATCATAGAAGAGCAAGCTCTTGGGGACAAGAAGTTTTTTGGTGGTGATACCATTAATTTAGTGGACATCTCCTATGGGTTGCTGGCCTATTGGTTCAAGAATGCTGAAGAAGTAATTGGCATCAAGATGCTGGAACCAAGCGCCTTGCCCCGTCTATCTCAATGGGTTCAAAATTTCCTGGAAGTTCCTGTCATCAAAGAAACCATCCCTGATCGTGACAAATTGTTGGCCTATATGAGGCGCATTAGGGAGAAGATTGTAGCTGAACAGCTTAACAATTAGCATCGAAAAGCTTCATATAATAGCTAGCCTTCCTGGAATATTGATTTATTATCAATTGCTATATATGTAATCTGTTTAGTTTCATTTGGAAAGGTGATGAGAGCCCTCTCATCGCAACGAAACCTATGTTGAATAGAATTCAAGAATAAAAGTTATTGTTTTAGGTTCTACAAAAGCAAACAACTAATAGATAATAAATATAAAATAAATATGTTAAATAAAAATATTTGTGTCAAGCTCTGAATTAAAGAATAAAACCTTGAAATCATAAGAAAAAGAGAGAAAGTGGTTGAAGATAAAAACAGAAAATATTTTTTATATTTGTATTTCAACTCTCAAGTTAATAAAAATATATTGAAAAAAGAGTAAAATAAAGAGAAAGTATTAAAAAGTAAGATGATTGAATAATACTTTGATAACCCTATTTATAAATGAAAAATGAGAGGTATGTGTGATAAATTAGTGACGTGATCGAGTTGATGTAATATTATACATATCAGATCAATTCAAAAATAAAAAATACTATTAATTATTTATTGATAATCTTTAATGAAAAAAAAGATCGTTTTACCCATTAAATCCAAAAATACCCCTCACATGAAAGTTGCAAAGACATTTGATATTCAGATCGTATTATGTTCAATAGAAATAGCACCAAGCATTCCATTCACGTCAAAGATAAAATGCTTCTTCTTAAGGTGAGCCATAACATTTTTTTGTCTTTGGTTGGATTTTATTTATTTTATTAAGGTTTGGAAGTAAATGAAATATGATTGAATTTGAATAAACTAACAAAGAAAGTTCAACAAAAGTAGAATGATTTGAGAAAAAAAAAAGTATTAATCGAACAGCCTAATAAAGGTGCAAATTGGGTGGGGTTAATTCAAGAACCAATCCGACCCGAATATTATGGGTCATATAAAAGCTGAGAACGGGACAAGTCGGGTTGTTATTCATGAGTCAAAACTTTTCTTCAGCCACGCAGCTTGACAGCTTATGTTAAGGATTTGATTAACTAAGGATAGATTCATACTTACTTATTGATGGTCACGGGATGAATTTTTATTTGTTTCGATTTTAATCTAATTTATAAAATCTATATCTAATTTTAATTTAATTTGATATTAAAATATTATTTTTTATATTAAATTTGATTCAAATTTATTTATAAAATCACAATAATCTATGTTGAAATTAATTTAATAATTTAAATTTAAAATAATATTTATAAAATAATATTTTTATTATAAATTATATCTTAATAATATATAAATATAATAATTTTATTAAATTAATATTTAAAATTAAAGTATTAAATAATAATTTTATTAATATAATATATATACATATAAAATTAAATAAATAATAAAAAATTATTATATATATAAAATAATATTTATAAAATAATATTTTTATTATAAATTATATCTTAATAATATATAAATATAATAATTTTATTAATTAATATTTAAAATTAAAGTATTAAATAATAATTTTATTAATATAATATATATACATATAAAATTAAATAAATAATAAAAAATTATTATATATATATATACACACACCAGACAAATTCACCTAAAACTCAATTCCAATCCAATTTCAACTTTTTTTAAAAAAAAAATTAGATTCAACATTATGCAAAATCTAATTTTAAAAAAAAAAATTTTATAAAATCAAACCGAATTATGATACGGATTCGGGTATATTTAATATCTTTACGCATGCTACAATCAATCAAGCTGCAGACACTTTGGGCTTAGTTCATAACGAAATCTTTAACCCAATCCGGAGCTTTGCTGGTGCGTATTGAGGCCATTTCCTGGATGAGCTGCCATCCATCCTCTTCCCGCTTAGGGCTCATATCACGCTTCAACCCTCGCAAAAATTCGTTTGAAACGACTTATTAACTGCTATTTTATAAGATTAAAAATTAAAATAAAAAATGCAAAAAATAGAGAAGCAAATAGATCTGCCGAAAACTGAAAAAGATAAAAATATTTTTTCCCACGCTTGAAAAAAAAAAAAACCCAGCTCTCCTTCCTCCGATCCGATCGGCCCTCCCGCCTCTTTTCTTATTTTGTTTTTTTTTTTTTAATTTCATTTTAGGGTTTTTTGTTTTAATATAAAAAATTTCAAATTCACCTTATCGGTTACAAATACTTTTGTTTTTTGTTTCTCGCTCATTTATCGAATCGTGCATGTATTGATCTGCTTCGAATCTCCATTCTTTGAGGATTTTCTTTGTGGAATCTTTGTCGGTGAACTCGAGGATTTATTAATTTCAGTTTTTGTTGTTTTTCGATCGGCATTTCTTTTGTGAATCAATGGTGGTGTGAATTGGGGGTTAGAATCGTTAGATTGACGAGATTTTGACGGGGTTTTTGGGAAATGGCATCGGCTCAGGTCCTGTCTAGTTCGCGGAAACAAGAGCATTTAGAAGCTGGGAAGCGTCGGGTACCTTTTTTTTTCATTCTTAATTGTTTTTCCTTCATTGATTTATTTTTATTTTTTTAGTGGTTTCTGTTTTGGAATATGATTTTCGATTTGTTTATTTAATTTTTTACTCATTAAATTTTATGGTTCAATTTTGTAAATTTTTAAATGTTTGTCACTGATTTAGGATATCAATTTCAAAATAGGACTAGAATTGAGTGTATATTATGGTCTTTTCAGATATGATCTATAGTATTTACATTGTTTAGCAATGTTTTGGTCGATCATAGCTGGAATTGAGGGCATATGGATTCAATTATTTTGTTAGATTACACCTTTGGGAAATTTCACTCCTTTTATGCCTTAAATGTTATTATTGTAATGGTATAAGGCGATGCCATTGGAACTAAAATAGAGAATAGGCCAATGTTTTAGTTTTTCTCCTTGAATTAGATTTGAGGGCTTATTTGTGTCATTAGATTTGAATGGAGAGCAATGCTAGGGTTTGTATTCAAGCTAGAAAGAATGAAGAAGCTCCATTTGACGCTATACCAAGGCAAGAATGGCTTGTCTGAAACTTAAGAACAATGATTTCTAATGAAGAGTGTATCTCAGTTGCGTAGCTGAGAGATGGAGTTTAAAGTTGCTGTTATGATTTGTTTCGGAATAATGTGTCTTAGTGCCATTTCTAATTTTTGTTGGGTTGGACCAGTTCTGGTTGTTTACAATTGTTCTGTTGATATGTTCAGGTCATGCTTTTATGTGGGTGCTGGTTGACCAATTTTTTTATTCATTCATTTTTCTTAGTTACTAGGGCCCAAAAACGAAAAGATAGCCCATTCTGGAGTTGTATGTTTTGTCTCTGAATACTGCAGTTTGTTATGTATTTTAATGAGTTAAAATCCTCCTAAATAATCCTCTTGGTTGATTGGATTTTGTATAATTATTACTCTGGATTTATGCCCACAGTAGAAGTTTCAGTTACATGTTTTTACATAAATGGAAATTTGAAAACAAGCAAATAATTCTTTGGACTTTACTTACCATGTGCTGTTACAATTCCTACCTCATTCTGTCTTGTAGCTTGAGGAATTTCGTAAGAAAAAAGCAGCTGAGAGAGCCAAGAAGGCAGCATCTACCTCCCAAACTTATGCTGCAGATGTTAGCTTAAATGAGAAACATCAATTAGAAACTGAACATGAGCGAGTCACTGACTCACATGATGCTGGTACATCTGATGGACCTGATCCTTCTTCTTTAAAAATAATTAACAACAACAACAACGGCAAAGAAACAACTGAAGTTTCCCATGAAAGTCAGCAAGCTGACTCTAACAACCCACATGCCATCCCTTCTTTTTTAGTGAACGATTATAATTTGTCTTCTACAGAAGTGCATATGCATGCAAAAAGTCAAGAAAATGAGAAATATGGTGCTTCGTGGAATGGTAGCCCATTGTTTATTGATAGTGTACCAGCAAAACATATGAATAATGACTTTCAAGAACCCAAGTCAAAAGAAGATGATGGTTTGTTGAAGGTTTCTGCAGTTGTACATCCTATTTCTACTGGAGATTTTGTTTCTAAAATATCTCCTCAGAATTCACTGCACAGTAATGCCAGTGAAGGCAACTTGCTAGGTAGTAACCATGTGCTATCTTCTTCCTATGAAGGTAATGTTGAATTTATGAATTATTTTTTGAATATGCTTTTTTATAAATTATAATAACCAGAATTTCTATTTATCTATGTTTTTCATGATTTTCTTTTGCTAAGGAACTGATGCAGTATTGTATGTTCTGTGGCTTAAGTGTAGACTCTACTCAATCTACCTTGGGTGCAAGAGGGTCTGTCCTTGAAGTTGGGCAGAACTTACGAGGCAATGCCGAATTTAGGGAACCTATGATTTCTGATCTCGAAGGAAGAAAATTTAGTAGTTCATCCAGTGATTTTCCAAGTGTGCATGGTCCACCCACAGAAACATCTGGATCTTCAGAGTTCAGTTTTGATGCCAGAAGCTCCACAAGTCACATGCCACTGCATTCAGTGACAAATGATACTAATTCTAGGAGATCTCGTCCATCTTTCCGTAATTCTCTTAATGTATCCAGAGCTTCTTCTGGGTCTCTTTTTCAACAGAATCAACCTACAAAGGATGCATTTGCCTCCCATAGTTCACAATTTAACAGTATCAATGCCATAGGATCATCCCTTTTTGAGAAACCATCAACAGAGAGTGCAACTATGGAAACTTTCTCCAAGCTAAGGTCCCCCTATTTTTCTCGTGCCAGTGAGTATCCTGGTCATTTTTCAGTTCCTGCTAGTAATAGTGGTGACCTCTTGGGGCTGAATATTGCTAATGGGAATATCTCGGAGAAGAAGCATGAGTTCTACTCAACCAAACAGAATGAAGATTTTGCTGCTTTGGAGCAGGTAGTTATTTGTTATTGAGCTTACTATGGGTGCAACCATTTCTAGCTTTCTAATGATTCTTGTCTTCTCTGGTGTATCCCTTGGGTGAATTATGTCAAACGACCGGAATCACATGAATATGCATTTTTTGAAGTGTGCTTTTTGATGCCTAAGAAATATGTCATCATAGGTTTCCGAAATTATATTATGCAATTTGACATTGCATAATGCACATGCAATTTTCTACTAGTATATGGGTTTTACTGAAACTATAAGAACCGTGGAAACTATTGTTTCCTATAGCCATAAAGGGATTTATGTAGTTAATTGTTTGACATGAAACATACTGAAGAAGAAAGGCTTGTGAGCCTCTACAATGCAAAAGAAAAAGGGACTCTGGTTTACCAGGCTAATATGCTTAATTATACAATGCTGCACTCAGGATTGACACATCTTGGTAGGTAGTTTATAGCTTAGTTGAGGGATAAGGCTAATTCCTTTTTCAATTTATTATTCCGTTATGGTGAAACAATGGATAAGTATCATGCATCCTTATTAGATCTCTGTCTTGTGTTTACCATCTTGTTTTTGTGGGGTGCATGTGCTGGAGTCAGGTGTTGTTAGGTTGGGGGATTGGTAAGTTTGGATATCAAGAGGAGAGGAAGAGTAGAGTCTTGAGGATTTTAGTTATAGTACATTGTTTCAGATTTGAAGCCTAATGACATGTTTGTAACTTAGGGATGAACAAATAGTAATGGCTGATATGAGATTTCCAGAAAGCCATTGAGATGAAAAGTTCCTCTTTTGTTTTTGAAGTTTTTAGCTTTATTATACTCGTTTTATTTATTGACTTTTTCCTGGATATCATGATTTTGACTTTCTTGATTAATTTATTTATTCTTATTCTGCAGCATATTGAAGATTTGACTCAGGAAAAGTTTTCACTGCAAAGAGCTCTTGAAGCTTCACGTACATTAGCAGAATCCTTGGCTGCTGAAAATTCATCCTTGACAGATAGTTATAATCAACAGGTTTGTTTCCAAATATGATATTTGTGGCATCACTAGCATGTCATGATCATGGACAGTTGTCTAATGCATATGTTTAGGCTATGCGGATCTACTTCATCTTTGCTGCTTACATAATTATAAACAGAGAATATCATATTCCATTGTTTACTGTTATGATGTGGTTGGTTATATTCCAATAACATAATCTGCTTTTCTTTGCTTATTCTGATTTTAATCTTTAAACATTCTGTGCATGAAAGCTCACTAACAATCAGCATTTTGGAAACAGGAAAACAGATTGTAATTTTGAAAATCTTTCTGCATTTTCATGAGAGCGATTGACTATCTTGAAGCAATAAGCCTCTTTCTGATTGTTTTCCAGTTCTTCATGTTTCTTCATTGCAGCTGATTTTAGCAGATTCTGAGAGGCACTCAATCTCATTTCATTGTGCTAATCACTATTCTGAATCCTTCTTAAAAGTCTCTTTATCATCTGTTGACATTTTTTTTTCTCCCCAGGGAAGTGTTGTCAACCAGCTAAAATCTGACATGGAGAAGTTACAGAATGAAATCAAGGCCCAACTGGTTAGTATTTTTACATTTAGGGTACTTTTAATCAGCTCAAGTTGTTCATAGAAAAAATTGAATCTTGTGTGACTACATACTACTTCATTTATGTCATATGGTTAATGCTTGGTTTGTGCATATATGCACATGGATTTTGGCCTTGTTTCTGCTTTGATAAATTTTTATCTGAAAATATGAAAATTTACAGCTGTCTATTGCATCTTTATTCATTATCAGATAATGCAGTACAAAGAACACTGAATTGAGATTCTTTCATCACTTGGTGCTATAATGCAACCGATGCTTCTGTACTGCCTTTTTTCCTTTAGCTGGGTTCAAACAGGTTCTTAAGGCTGTGTTTGCCCCAATATAAAATAAAATTTCATGGTTCAGCTTGGGCAGGGGGATTTGTGCTGAGAATTTGGGTCTTAGGGAATTGGAGATTTACAGAGAGTTTTTATAGCAATTTTTATGGTCGTTATTTATCATTAGAGGAGGAAGAAAAGTAACATTCTTTCGTTTGAAGAGATAGCCGTTTTACTTTTAATCTATAAAAATGATCCATGAAGGTGGGGTTTGTCTATGATTCCTGGATTCCCCCCCTTGTTTACTGATGGCTAAGAATATGATGAAGTAGAGATTTCATTGTATTGGTGTTATCTTCATAGGGGAAATAAGGAGATGGTACAATTCTCAGTTCGGTGATGTAATTCTGCTCATGTAGTGAATGGTTCAGTAAATCCTTTGTTTGCAATAGTTTTCTTTGGTTGCAAAAGAATTGTTGGGATGCAGCTTTGGTTTGTGCTGTACTGCAAAATGCTATGCCCAATGTGTGCTGATTTGCATTTTATTTTCTTGTGTTTTTCATTTCATGATGTTTGAATGGGCTGAGGAGCTTTAGATATCACAAATATACATTTTTTTAAACATTGTTTACTCTTTATTTCATTTTATTCTTTTGCTGTTTTCTTGCTATATCCGATGTTTGATATTTGCAGGCGGAGCTTGAGTCTTTTAAAATGGAATATGCAAATGCACGGTTGGAATGTAATGCAGCTGATGAACGTGCCAATATATTGGCTTCTGAAGTCATTGGTTTGGAAGAGAAGGTAACAAATTATTTTAATGGGTGAAGGTTTTCTTCCTTTTCTACTATCGTTCTATTCATTATAAAACTTCTATCTCTCTAGATAATAATGCCAAGAGAGTGGCAAATTGCCATGTGTAAAATATGCATGGTTGTAAGTTTTACTTTAGGCATGTAATAAAGCTTAAAGGTTTTAAATTGTCAGTTTAACTTGATGGCTCTCTAATTTTTTTTTTTTATATTGATTTGACCTTGTTAATTTGCTTGTTTTAGATGATAATCTTCGCGTTTCGCTTATCTTCCATTGAATATATTTCTGTATAAAGTTGTTGATGCTGGAGTAGCATCACTTTTGGCATCTGCTAGATTAAACTGTTGTTTTTATATCCTTTTTGTAGGCACTTAGACTAAGGTCGAATGAGCTAAAATTGGAGAGGCAGTTGGAGAACTCACAGGCTGAAATTTCTTCTTTCAAGTATGCTTTAATTTTTTGTTTGCTAAAGGAGTTTTGATCTATATTTTCAGCATGAGTTGATTTCTTATTTCTTCTCCATAGTTTATCCAATTATATATGCCTTCTGAGTTCAAAAGTAACCCTGTAGATTGTATGCCCTGGTATAGAATTGAAAAAGGTTATTGTTGCTGTTATTAAACCATTGCTTAGATTGTCTAAGAAATATTTATCCTATTAAAGTTTTACTATTAAGTGATCATGACATATCTATGCAAAAAGAAAAAGAAATATGGTAAAGAAATATCTATGCAAAAAGCCAAAAGTTTGCATGTTAAGTGATTCGTTGACACATTAAAATCATTAAAATTGACATAAAGCAATTAAATGTATTAAGTCAGTTTTATGTTCACTCAAGATCTCATTATGCTATATGTCATATTTTACCTCAGAGCACACTTTGGTTAGTGACAATAGGAAAGCCAATCCCTCAGTATGTTTGGATTTCGTTTTCTATTAAGTACTATACGAATAAACCACTTTGTTTTGGGTATTATGTTCTGCTGCTCATGCCATGTACATTATTATGGTCAAGTTCCACATGAATAGAAAAATTATTTACAGTTGTTACTTATTAGAAATACAGAAAACAGAAAGGAAGAAAAAAAGAAATTGGTGGGGGGGGGGGAGGTAGTTTAAAGTTCGTTATTTTCTTTTTTGTTTTTGTGAACTAATAACATTTGAGTTTTAGTAGTTTTGCCCTCGGATCTTCTTTGATTTTGTTTCTTTCATGTGCTATAATATTATCATGGATTAGACTTTTTTTTTAATATATTTTCATGTTAAGTTCTATAATAGTTATAGGATGTCTTATTCCTTCTGAATCTCGCAGAAAGAAAATGTCAAGTCTTGATAAAGAGCGTCAGGATTTCCAGTCAACTATTGAAGCTCTTCAAGAAGGTAAGTATGCTAATATCAGGTGTGTTTGTTTTTATAGTGTTTATTTGTAAGTTTTTATATTTGTTTTCTATAATATCCATATGTTTGCTATATATTTTTCTTCTTTGTTTAACTCAGAGAAGAAGGTACTGCAGTCTAAGCTACAAAAAGCTTCTGCCAGTGGAAAGTCTATTGATGTTATTAAGAATCCTTCTAGTAAGAAGGATATGTCAACTTCAACAGAAGATCTAGGTAATGGTGTGCTTTTCTGGTTGCTATATACATAAATTGCTATATCTTATTTTACTGAACCAAACTCCAGTTGCTTATCCCAGGAAACTACTAAACCTATTCCCAATTCCAAACATATTATTGGTCAGAGTCACATGAATTTGTGCTATGTCAATTTTCACTTAATGTTGGTCTACCCTCTCAAGTTGAGTAGATGTAGTGAAACTTAGTGAGATATAGAAACAAAAACCCTTTTTGCATGTCTACAATGTTTTATCTTTGATTTGAGGGTTTGGCTCTATGTAATTTCTTGCATGGTATGTTCTAGAGAGGTGGTTTGGTGCATAAAATTAGGTGTATTATTATTATTTACAAAAGCTTAATGGTATGGATTTGTAGTTTTTATGCATGCCTTGATGCCTTTAAAGTTGAGGTCCTGTATTGCTGGTGCATATTAAAGCACAAGGGCAGAGGTTGGAATATATTACTTTTAAATGCCAAATTTGAGTTGCCAAGTAATTTGTTCAAGGAATCACTTATTGACACATAATAATCTAGGATATTGCAAAAGTTTATTCTATGATCTAGAAACTCTCAAGGATGACATTCAGATATTTATTGTATCAAATTCAAAACATAAATAAAATCATAAATTCTTTATTTGAAGCATTTGGTCTTGTGGAAGATTCAGAGTAGGTAGTTGTCAGGATGATGAATAAGTTACTTCAACTCTTCAATTTTTGTAATGTACTTGTGTGGACACGAGTTAAGACGCTTCAAAGTACATATGGATATAAGCAGATCATCCTGTATGGTCATACATATAACGAAAACTTAAGGAAAACTGAAAGCACTTGTGCCAGACAATAGAAACATCCATATTCGAACTTGAGTTTGAGTTATATAGAAGGACAATTGAATATATAACAAGTGTTGCACTGCATATTGACAAGCTATCAGACACAGTGCTTAAGCTATTATGAGAAGTCTGATAAGCAATTGTAGCAGCGAAATGGGTTTTTGAAGTTGCAATGATTTTCCATGGTCCTTATTTTAGTGTTGGTTTTATTTACTCAACTTTTCCAGCCAGCACGGATGTTACTTCTGATGAGAGGAAAATGAATAACGGTAATGATGCCTCTAGTTTGAGCTTGCTGCCTGAAGATGGACAATTTGAAGCTTCTTCTGTTTATATTCCGACTGATCAAATGAGAATGATTCAGAACATTAATGCTCTAATTTCTGAGGTAGCTTCTGTTACCTGATTCAGATTTTCTTGTGGCTTTATATGATTTATTCCTTGTCCAATTGAGAAATTAAGCTGTTGGAGTTGGTGTCCGCATTGCCTGTCATGATCATTGGAGGACCTTTTCTTATTGCAGTTGACATTGGAGAAAGAAGAACTGACACAAGCTTTGTCATCTGAGTTATCTCAAAGTTCAAAGTTGAAGGTAATTTAACTGAACTAGACATGTAATCATAATTCAAGTTATTTGTGTTTGTCCCGTTTGGTTCTTCTTGCTAGGCTTTATATCAGGCTTGATAGAAAATTTCTAAAAAGATATATTTTCAACTAGAAAGTGGAATTTGAAGAACACCTTTATTTATCAAGGTCCCTTTCTTTTTGTTAGAGCCAGCTAATTAGCAGCCTGGAGTTTTTAAGCATTATCATATTTGATGAGTTTTCCTTTCAGAACCGTATTTCCTTTTTCTTCAATTAGGTCATTTGAATTTCTTATGTTCAATTCATCATTTGCAATCTTGTTCAAGGGCTCATTATATGTTGATTGTTTCTATTTTTAGATTCTAATATTCTTCCGAATGATTATTTTATTATTTGCCTTGTCCTTATCATTGTTTTTGATGGATGAAGGAGTTGAACAACGAGTTGTCCAGGAAACTTGAAGCTCAAACTCAAAGATTAGAGCTTCTAACAGCTCAAAGTATGGCAAGTGAGCATATCCCTGCTAGACAACCCAAGTCTCGAATAATGCATGATAGTACTCCATATGCCGATGAGGGTGATGAGGTACCAATTCTCTCTCTCTCTCTCATGGTGACATGATCATGTATCATTTATTGTTATTCTAACCTAAGTGGCTATTGATAATATCTTGTTTACTCTGGTGTGAAGTCGATGTCTCTCCTTTGGACTTTAAGCCATCTTATAAGAAGATTGAGGCTTCTGTATCATTGTTAATCCAACCATTGCTTAAAATTGAACAATGAAATACTTTGCAGATAACAGAGACTACAAGGAGTTTCACAGAACAAAACTATTAAACTCTAATAACATTTAATTTCCTCATAGGTGGTGGAAAGGGTCTTAGGATGGATAATGAAGCTCTTTCCCGGTGGGCCCTCAAGACGGAGAACCAACAAGCGTCTTTCATACTGAATCCGTTTATCTTGGCAAGAGAGGTGCTTTGTTTTGAGTTTTTCTGCCTTCCCCTGTTTTTGTGAGGTGAGGGAGGTCGCGCGATTTGTATATTTTGAGTCCATTATACAACCCATTCTTTATGATAGAAAGAAAATGAGTTTCTCTTGATCATGTTCGTGTTACGATTGTTTGGCAAAATCTAGTTGTCAATTATTTCAGAGAAGGCAATAAAGAAGTCCCTTGTTGCGGTCACTTGGTTCTCCTTTTCGGGATCAAATTTTGGTGGGCAATCACTCAAGGTTGAAATGAACTGAGAGACGAATGGTATAGGAGAGAAGCCTGCAAGTTTTAATTGTGCCATTTTATTGCATTTGTGATGAGCAGATTTCGGTGGTGCATAAGCATTAGAATTTAAGCACTTGATTTTGTTGTCTTGACTGTGTTTACTCCAGGGCTTCAAAGCCTCCGATGCGTCTGGTTATTACAAAAAAAAAAAAAAAACCCTAAAGCAAAAATTTAATAATCATTTAAATTTTTGATATTTTACTATAATAAATTAAGTTTTGAATTTTTTATTTTGAATCAATTAAATCTTTAAATATTTATTTTTATCTTAATTGAATTTATGATGAAATGAAAATGATGGTTAATTAATTTTCATATAATAAAAATACAATTAATGAAAATAAATATTTAAAGGATTAAGGTTTGTTTCCTGTCAATTAGCATAAATTTTAAAAAGGTAATTATTTTATTATTTTGCAATCAAATAAAGAGATTAAGGGTCATTTGTGCCCTTAGGGCAATGTTAATGATAGCACACAAAAGAGTAAAGATATTGTATAGTTGAGAAATCAAATACATTTATTATTCACTTTTGCAATGTTAATATTATATATTTTACATATCAATACAAATTTGACAAAATAATTTTTCATGTTTTAAATGTATTTGATACAATAAAAACATAATATAAATATATAAATAGACAGATCTATAATAGCCTTTTTTCTTTTTACACAAACAAAACAAAGAGGTAAACTTAAAAATACAAAAAAGAATCATCAATTTTTTTTTTTGTATTCCAATTTCCAACTATATGTGTTTACAATGAATATTTGGAAAAAAAAACAAAAATGACTATAAATACTTTTGCTAATTGGTACTTTGTATTAGATGAAAATTAGGGGGCTGAACAAACTTTTGTGTTTCTTTTTATCAGCTCATACCAGAGTAGACTACATTAAAATTTTCTTCTCCTACCATCCAACTACAAATGAGTACTGACCACAAATGACCAAATAACTACCTAAACACCCTAAATGAAATGGTAGAACTCTAACAATTATATTACATTTGAGGCAATGGATCCTACATTTGTAGATAATGGGCTTAGATTTACCATGAGGCATTGACATGATGAAGTTGATTTTTTTTTTTTGGACACAAAAATGCAGTGCATCAAAAAAGAGAAATTGATGGTAGAACCTGCGCCTTACTCGTGTAAAATTTGGAATGCCGGAGTCTTGATAAGTTCTGCAGCAGGTTTTACATCCGAAAATTCTTTTACTTGCATGGAACCGGTAGTGTCCTCGACTGAGAAAGGAATGCTACATTCAAAGAGGATAATCGGTTAGGACTCTAAGAGATTAACCCTCAATATTAAAGGAACTAAAGAGCAACTCTGCCATTCTCCTTTTCCAACTTTCCCTTTTGTTATCTTACCCGGAATCCTCATCCAACAGAAAGGAGCTGCCGCCATCATCTTCTGAATCATCTGTCATAAGAAGTTTCATGCTGGAAATGACCTGTACAATTTAAGAGGTGTCATACCATACTAACAAAATGAGAAAAAAGAAAGTTATATTTGTCAATAAAATTTTGGGAGTTAAACAAGAAGTTTCTACAATTGGATGAAACTTACATCTGGTGAAACACTTAAGTGTTGTAATTGTCATCCCGATAAATCTTACATACCCTATAAAGTTGTTGAACACTCAAAACCTTGTGAAGGACGCACAATGTAAGAGAAAGCAGACAAATATCACCAAACATTTCGGAGCAATACACATAAGTACAAACACAAGTATTTACCAAAGAGCAAAAATAGAGTTATTGTCAATATCTTTGGACTCTTTAGTTTCACATGACAAGTTTGGGTTACATTTTATATAACATTGACAATTATGGGTATGACAACCTAATTGGTAACTCAGACGCCCGTTTCCCCAAGATACGAATCATATATTTTTTGAAATTCTGAAGATTTCCATATTTTACAAAAAAGGATTCCATGGAGAAAAGAAAATTCATTTATCCCTCTTGCTTCATCTTTTTCACTTTCTGGAGGAACATTTTATTCAGATACCATAAATGCATGCCTATTCATCATGAGTTCATGAATACTCGGTTTTTCTTCACAAGAATGATAGTGACTCGCACTAGCTCTTTAAAGGACCTTTCTTATTAATTTATTAAATGGAATGTTCTATGAAACCATATTTTGCACTATGCCCCATCATCAGAGGGATTGGTTAAGAAAGAAAAGGAGACTTACTGGAAAAAGGTCATTTGTTATTTCATTGTAGGATATTCTGGATTTTTTATTTATAACCTGACAAGACAGAGAGCGGTTGTTCAAATTTGAGAAATGAAAGAACAGAATAATTAAAACATGAAAACAAAGAGCAAGATTCATTGCACTCCTTTTCAAACACCAAATAAACCAGAATTTGACAGTAAACTGATGAAAATATTCGTGAAAGCACTGCTAAGTACTGAAATCACATTTCTTAGAGGGTAACTAAAAGCTGTTATCAGTTAAAGGGTAACTATCAAGATTAAGACCCAGAAGTTGACAATTTCCCACAAAATGAATATAGCAAATTTAAAGATTTTAAATCCTCATTATAGATATATAATTGATTTCAGCCAGAGATCGCATTCCAAACAAATTGAATACAAAAACCAAAGACTTTAGAAAATTCAATCTTATGCCAATGGATAAGGATGGCTTGAAGACCAGTTCTTGGCAAAGAAATCAGGAAGGTTTTCCATTAAGGCTCTATTTGTTCCACCATAAAACTTTAAAAAGCACTTGTGTGTGTGTGCTGGATCTTCTAAAAATTTAGGTGGAACAGATACTTCGTTATGCTGAAGGTCTAAAGTAGTTGAATATAACTCAAGACATCTTTCATCAGTTCATTTTCAAGCTGAGAAAATGAGTCCTAAAGATAAGTTCCGAATCTTAACAGCAACATTACCACAAACCCAGCCACCCCAACCCCCATTTTCTCTATTTATCTCAAATGTGAAACTTTATTTTTGGGGAAAAAATTGTCGAAGATTATGCATATGTGCAAGGTCATACGGTAGTATAACTGTCTCTATACTACAGACTTAAATCTCTCACCTCCAAAGCACTTCACAATTCTTAGCACGTTAAGCAGCTAATTCCACATTTTGCTTAAGTAAAATGAAATAACAACACAGCGTTGCTACCGTTGCCTATTCTAAACAACATGGAAAATAAATATTATGAGTCCAACTGTGGGTGCTCAAGGGGTCCAATTCTACTAAAGTGTAGTGAATTTATTCTTGATCGGGGGGGTATGAGCCATGGTATCCTATCCTACATTGCGCAAGGAAACTTACAAACACCTCTAGTTTTGTTTATGCAAAAAAAAGCTAAAATCACAGCAAACCCCAATTTGTCAAGCCTTGAAATTCAAGCACTGATCATCTGTTTTCAATTGCACAACATACCAACGCTAAACCTCTATTTTAACATCCAAAAGATATTGAGGCCAGTTTAAACAATTCTAAAGCCACAATTGCAACTACATATTATGAAGTCAAAGTGGCATGAACTTATCAAAGGAAGAAAAAGGTAGTACATAGCTTGCACAGTCTCATCCGATTTTATAACCCAGCTGTGATTAATTACCAGTCAAACAAGATTTAAAAAAAAGAAAAAATACATTGGATGAGAATGACATGTATACCTAAATCAAACCACGAGTAAAAGTAATGCAACTCAACAAAATTCTAACCTAGAAAAATAAACAACTTAAGAAACATACCAAGAATCCAACAGCTTGCCTTGTGTGTTTGAGTTCATCCCATGATGAGCCTGCATACTGTAATTAGAGGAATCACCAAAGACAACATCAACTCTTAATGCGGAATTTAAATGCAATAAGGTGCCACAGCTAAAGAAAGGAAAATTTTTCAATGATAGCATGTTCAAACTTCAAACAATATGAATGCCACCTTCAACACAGTTCTTAGTCAGAATTAAAGAAATTACCTCTTCATTCACTTGGGCACACCATAGTACCAATTCAGCTAAGCCAGGCTTCACATACTCACCATTGCTAAATGTGCAGCACTCTTGTCGGATGAGAAGGCTGTAGCAGAATATATTAACATCATATTTTGTAATTTATTCCTATTATCTTATCCACAGTAACAGGAAAATAAAGACGGAACAGTGATTTACCTATTAAAGAGCTGCAAATTTATATATGCAAATATTTGAGTGAAAATTTTCTGGACAAGTATTGGAGGCACCTGAAAAAAAAAATCATAACCATAAGTTCTTGGTTCATCAAAAAGATGGTAATACTCCACTTTAAAATCATCAAAACAGCAAATTACATACAAAATTTTCTTTTAATGTGCACAGCATCTTGTTCAGGGTCTCAATAATGTTCTGCCAGTGACTAGCTGGAGATTTGATGTCCTAGGTACCTGACATGTAGGAAAATGCATTAGCAACAAAAAGAAATGAAGAAACTGCAGTTCCAAGATTAAACTACTTGCTTCCATGCATAATAAGCAAGCATAGGAAATTAATAAAGAATGGCACTTTGACACTATTTATTAACACAACTTTTAAAAGAAGCAATAGACAACTGAGCCTTATGTAAGAATAATACTAAACTGTAGCACAACACACAAATCCTTACAACTTAGAGAGCAATTCAAACTACTTATATGGAACATGATATCCTCAAGTAGAACCTAAATATGTAGAAAATGGGAAAATAAGCTTAACAAGTAGAAAGGGTCTCTCTATAAAATTAATTATCAATTACTTTCTGTCATTCAAACAATAAATAATTCACTTTGAGAATTTTAAACCAAGCAGGCAGCAAGAAGTAAATTGCAAGGACATCGAGGGAGAGGAACTTGTGATGGTTTCACATGCATAGAGCAACTAAAAATAAAAGATATGGTGTTCACAAGAATAATTTAAATGTGTAGAAACAGGAAATAAGCAATATATATATATATATATGAAATCAAGATGAAACTAATTAAGATCATAACATTGCAATGTTGAAATTAACACACAGCAATATATTTCAGTTGATCATAAAACAAATCAAACATTCTACAAGTTCAAATAAAGCAGAACAGCAAACTTATACTGTCAGAGGCACCATAGAAGGTCTGGAGTTGGTTTCAAATATAAGCCTCAGAAAGCCCACAATGCTTT